TGGCCGCGCTGGACGGGCTGCGCGTGCTGGGCATGCTGTGCGTCATAGTGGAGCACGTGTGCTGGCTCAACACACTCACCTACCTGCTCAACCCGCGCCGCGTGGCACAGGTACACACACTACATGGACACCTGGCCGCGCTGGACGGGCTGCGCGTGCTGGGCATGCTGTGCTTCGATGATGATGATAAATAGATATATTTTAAGCATGTACTTAAAATATATCTATACTGAATTTAATATGTAGACGTTGAAAATCTCCTATAATACAAGAGCGCGCGTTTATGTCTTTTTTATGGCGCCCAATAAACATGCCCTACCTGATTTCTCTGATTATATTTAGTGAAGCGGACCCACGCTATAGAGCTATAAAGAGGCTGGCGATTTAATATGTATCTTTTATTAGTTTCTTCCGATGAAATTTTGACCACAAAAAACAAGGTGCTGGCTCAACACACAATCAATTACTTTGATAAACATATTCCTCATATTAATAATCGAGGAATAATCTTAAACTAGTTACGCTGCGTTTTGTTCACAAACGCTCTCGAAACGTAACCGCAAAAGTGCCAGAGATCGAATTTGCCAGATCACCGAGGGTCGCGATAGAGGACGAGTAATGAGGCTCATTCTAAAATGAGCCTTATGCAGTGCGGCGTAAGGGTCAAAGTGTAACGACATCTGCACTTGTTTACAAGTTATGCGTGTTACCTGCGTAGGTATAGGTAGGTATTTCGTACTCGCGGGTGCTAGCTAATTCTCAATTGAACAGGTACTTTCTAAAATGCGTCGATCGGCGTATATAAGCGCGATCGGCGCCGCGTAGAGACAGTTGATTTTCAACAGCGATTTCGGAGCGAATCCAAAGGCGATCAAAGTGCAACAAAAGTATTCCAGTGCGATAGTTTAGTGACTTGTATAGTGAAATACAGTGTTTAGTGAGTGTTTTGTAATTAACATTGTGTGTAAATTGTGTGAACTGTGTGGTGAATAAAGAACTCTCAAGTGTGAACTGGCATTTAATTTCGAACCCCATCCCAACACGTAACAATATCATTCAAATGCTATTTCTAATTCAATGAAAAGAGACACGTGGAGTAACTAATCCAAAGCTAATCCTTCGTTTATTACCAAGGGGACTGTGTATAGACGTTCTAATTCTTGATTGTGTTGATTTGTTAATTAACTTTAGCGATCCTTATCAGTGAGTGCAGTCGAGTTACTTCATACCGCACTCATAATCCGAATTTCTCACCCAATCATAAAAGCTTCAATAGGCTGAATAATCACTGCGAATCTAATGAACATCGACCACAGTCCGTGATGACAACTGACGCCTACTCTACTGGTAGGTATTACTGCTAGAGCGCTACGTCTTTAAAAAGGTTGTTTTAACGAAGTGTAGATTAGAGTAAATTATCTTACCGCACCTGAGGCTCAACCAGAAACTTAAAATAAATAAATATTTCCAACACTCACACCAATTAGACTAGCCCAAAGTAAGCACTGTAAGGCTTGTGTTATCGGATACTAGGGTAACGGATAGAATAAATACACAGTATATTTATATAGAAATACATATTAAATATCCATGACTGGAGTACAAATGCTCGTGTTCATCACTCAATGGGGATTTGTACCCGGGACCTCTCGAGTCGGCGACACCATGAAACCCGGCGTATAAACCACGGCCACGGAGGTCATCAAACTTTGACTTTGAGGAACTTTGAGAACTCCGCGATAGTATCGCATCATCAAAGTTTCTATGAAAACTAAGCAGCGCCCCTAGCGGACGTAATAACAAACTGGCTCCTTCCACACAAAATTTGACGATAACGATACGATTGACTGTCGTAGTTCGTGTTTGGGACTCTGATATTAAGAAAAGCTAGTTCTCAGACAGGCGCTCCAAATTAAACTGGAAGTCTGTTTTGTCTCTCTACAGTTAGTTATAGAAAAAAAAACAATAAATTTTGGGTGTCCCCATACTTAGAACTAAAACTCAAAAATTTTTTTTTTCATCAAACCCATATGTGCTGAGTATCTATGAATAGGTTTTCAAAAATGATATGGAGGTTTCTAATATATTTTTTTTTCTAAACTGAATAGTTTACGCCAGAGACACTTCCAAAGTGCTAAAATGTGTCCCCCCCCCTGTAACTTCTAAAATAAGAGAATGATAGAACTAAAAAAATATATGGTGTACATTACCATGCAAACATCCACCGAAAATTGATTTGAACGAGATCTAGTAAGTAGTTTTTTTTAATACGTTATAAATCGTAAACCACAAATTACCTTTCATTCAATCAACTCAAATATAAAAGGAAAACATTTAATTTCATAAATAGACCCTGGGGCTCCGGTGCCCACCATCTTTTCAAAGATATCGCGAAAAGATTGTTGGAGACTACTGGAGACCGCAGAGCTGGCGGCTATTTCGCCCAGCGCATAAGCCTCGCCATTTAGCGGGGAAATGCCGCCAGCGTCCTGGGAGCCTTTGCCGGGGAAGACTTAGGGCAGCTATTTTTTTAATATTTTTAATTTTTGTCTAGTTTTAGTGTACTTTTAGTTTAAGTATATAAGTTTTAAAATAATGAGATTTTTTAGCTTTTGGTCATTAAGTAGTATTAAGCTTTTGTAATTTAATTCTGAAATTGTGTAAGTAAGTTCTCAACATAATCACAATGTTCACAATATTGGTATTTCATAAACATTAACGTTATGCATAAAGCGTGAACCATTATTTTCTAATAATAAATCTGTAATAGCTGTCTGATTACACAAAATTCGCGCGAGGTTTGACTTGATCGGTAGCGGGTATAGAGAGCGGTAGGTTTTATACTATGTTATGGTTTTATTTATATTTTAAGCATTTAACTGCTAGATGTTTAAATCTAAAGAAAAGTTTACTAGAAAAAAATCCACGCGGACCAGGCAGCGGACGGGACCGGATTGTGGGTTACCTACAATGCGAAGAGATGGCGCTGCCTTGCAGCTTAAGGCTAGGAAAATTTCGACGCGGCTAATAGGGCCATGGTAGCATAATGGTCAGTGCATTCGCCCGGATAGCGAAGGATGCGGGTTCGGGTCCCGTCCGCTGCCTGGTCCGCGTGGATTTTTTTCTAGTAAACTTTTCTTTAGATTTATACTATGTTACTTGCTGCTACGGAAAAGTTCATGGGCGTGTCCGACTCGCACTTGACCGCTTTTTTTATATACGAGGCACAACAAATAACCCCACCCCACCTGCTATTTAGTGTAATTGGAGCCCAGTAGCAAAGAAAATTCAATACGAAATAAGCTATGCCCTTGTACATGTCTCTTGTTTCTCTTTTTTCAATACTAAAAACACCATGTTACACATAAAATTACATATATAAGTATATTCTACAACAATATGGTGCAATATGAACAAATTTTAGAATAATTAAAACAAAAAATATACTATAACAATGAACCTAAAACTAAAAACCTTAAAAAATAAAATATAATAATTAAAATACATTATTAAAAGGAGTCCCTTTAGGCAAGGTTCCGAAGATACTGGCAGCGTTCCCCCTTTGGATAGCTAGACTAATTCTTTGTCCGAGGTAGCTGCCAGCTCTTCGGTCTCCTGTGATGTCGACTAATCTTTTTGCTATTTCTTTAAAAAGCCTTATAGCGCTAGGACCCCACGGACCAAGGGTCTCGACACCGAATGGGACAAAATCATATTCGGAGCCTAGACCCCTGTATTTGCCTGCCTTAGCTTTTTCAGTCGCTTCACAAGCACCAGCTCTGTTGTTGGTTCCATGTAGATGGGAAGGGGCCAAAATAACTAAAATACTAAAATAACAATATTTCCTAAAATACTATATTATTTACTCTCACACAATACATTAAAACTACAAAAAAACTAAATACTTATACCAAACTAAAAATAAAACTATATTATGTAAAAAATAGACCCCAAATCGCTGCGGTAGGGTGTCCAAGAGGCTGGCGGCATTTCCCCGTTGAATGGCCAGGCTCAACCTTTGTCCGAAATGCGCGCCAGCCCTTGGATCCTCTGAGGCGTCGATGAGGCGTGTGGAAATCTCCTAAAATAGCTGACGGGCTTCCGCAACCCAAGGCCCCAAGGTCTCCACGGCAAAAGGCGCAAATATATGAGACGACCTCCGTGGCCGAGTGGTTTGTACGCCGGGTTTCATGGCTGACTCGAGAGGTCCCGGGTTCGATCCCGGTGAGGATATTTGTGTGATGAACATGAGCATTTGTACTCCAGTCATGGATGTTTAAATATGTATTTCTATATAAATATACTTATATATGTAAAGTATGTGTATTCTATCAGTTACCCTAGTATCCCATAACACAAGCCTTGCAGTGCTTACTTTGGGGCTAGGCTAATTGGTGTGAGTGTTGGAAATTTTTATTTATTATTTATATACGGCTCTCCCAAGGCCCCATATTTACGCCTTTTATTGGTTTCGTTTTTTGTGTGTGTGCACAAAATAAATAAATAAATAGCTGATGCGGCCGCTCCGACCATCCTCACCGGTCCGGCCTGCACCCAATACCCTACCCTACTCACCAACAGAAGCACAACACCACGAAAAGGAATTGTTATTTTACTGTGGTCTTGTGTAAGGTGGTCTGGTTGCTTTCCAGCGGAAAATCCGCTGTGCCGTAACTTTCTTAAAAAGAGTGTTCTTTGGTAGTATCAATATTATAATTGTTCAAAATTTCACGTAAGTAACTGGGTTCGTACAACTACCTACACTGTCTTAATGACCCGCCCTCAGGTTCTAGTGGTCTAGAGGCTCCAGACGGAGAGGAGACTCCCCCCGTGGGGAGATGCCATCCGCCTGGAATACCTCTAGAGGCACTCGCCAATTCTCGGCTTGAGGTCCTATTAGGATTTCACCGTCCCCAAACCCGCTGACACTGTAAAGGTCATCTGCGACCAAACAGCATAGTCAAAAAAATGTCTTAATGAATGCATCATTCTGCTTCCAGATGCGTCGCGACACGGACGTACAGCTGATGTCGAACAGCACGCTGATGGTGCAGGCCTTCTTCCTGATGTCCTCGTTCCTGTTGGCCAACAAGTTGCTGCAGCAGCGCCGCCGCCAGCAGCCGCTTAAGCCGTTCACCACTTTTGCCGAAACGATGATCAATAGATTCATTAGGTAACAAGCACACCATTTTATCTCCATCACTAGTTAATTATGTTCAATTATATTGGCTGGATAGAAAGGGCCCTACTCGCCAGTCGACACAGCCCTGTCCTGAGTTCAAATCGCGGTAGTGGCAAATGTTTTAAGAATGATAACGAGTATTTGCATCTCAGTCTCTTTCATCACTGCCAAATTATTTATGATATTTTTGCAAATGACCCATTACCGTACCTCGTGCCACAAGCTTTACAATCCTAACTTTGGGGCTAAATTAATTCGGGCGAGTTAAAATCATTACTTATATGGCCTGTGCTTATATTTCCAAATAAGTAATAGTACCAGAAGAAGAAGAAGAAGTCTCTTTGTGAACTTTTTTAGTCTAAAAACAACAGCTGTAGAGTGGTTGTCATCGTCACGTACAGAATGAGCCCCACATATTTCCTGGTGGTGTGGTTCGCCGCGAGCGGGTGGGAGCGGCTGGGCAGCGGCCCGCTGTGGGCCCCCCTGGTGGGCGGCGAGGCGGCCGTGTGCCGGCGCAAGTGGTGGACGCATCTGCTATACCTCAACAACATCATCTATCCGGACGACAAGTGCCTCATACAGACCTGGTGAGTGTTTACAGCTAAAACAGGTTGCCTGATGAAGAGATCTCGTCGGAGTCTATAAAATGCTTTTAAAAACTATTTGAATACATGGATAAAAAAAGAATTTCTACACCACATGATAGGCATAGGCATTTGATTTTAGGCGAAACGGTTCTCGCCTATCTTTGTAATACCTAGAAATCCTCGAATAACATAGATGGCTGGTTTTGTCCTTGTTTTATTTATTTATTTATTTATTTATTCAGTTTCACATGCTGGTTTACAGAGCTAGTCCAACACACCAACAAGTCAATGCAATGCAAAACAAAAACATTTATTATATAAAAATAGTCATAAGTGGAATCACAATTAAAAGTCAAAATTAAAAATAAACATACATCAAAGTCAACAAAGTTACAGAATCAAAAATGTCAATAAGATACAATTAAAAAAAAAAGGTGAAAACAATTAATAAATTACAAATTGAAATAAACTAGAAAATACACAAGACCGACCAAAAACATTATTTTGAATGTCAAATGTCAAATTACTGATTAAAACCCAGAATCTAAAATCTGGCGAGTCGTGGTAATTAATCTCCCTAGACCGTCAGCAAACAAGTCTAAGTGATCGTATTGAGCGAGCATGTCCCCGATCAGGCGCAATGCACGTACTGTGGGCGCTTGGGCAGCGTGGACGGTTCGGGTGCCAGGCCTCTCCAGCAAGCGCGGCCGCCGGCGCGGCTCCAATAAACCCTCGGCATCACGCGGGATGCGAGTGGGTACCAAAAGACGTACTCTTTCTAGCACGTGTGGGGAATCAATCTTTTGGTAAATAATTGATAAAAAGTGTACAATGAGGAGCAATTTCCGTCTCATATCCAGTGCTTCTAGGTCGACCATACCGTAGACAAAAGTTGATGGATACAAGAATGGATAATATCCATAGTTTTTCTTATACAACCATCGAGCAAATTTTCGTTGTATCTTTTCTATCATGAGGCAATATTTGTTTTCGTGGGTGTCCCAAATTACTGCCCCATATTCCAATTTACTACGCACGTAGGCATTGTATAATACTCTAGCCACTAAAGAACTACTAAATTCGGAGGAAGTTCTGATAATGAATCCAAGGATCCTACTCGCCGATTTGCATACGTTTATCACGTGTTGGTGAAAGTCCATCTTAGTATCTAATGTTAAGCCTAAGTCTCTTATTTTGTCAACTCTTTCCAAAGGAGCGTCATATATTTTATAAATACTTTCAATACAGGACCGCTTCCGCGTAAAAGTTATTGTCTTGCATTTGTTGCTATTGAATGTCAACCGATTCGAATCACTCCACGCTACTACAGCGTCAATATCCCTCTGCATGGCATCCGAATCCCCTTTACTACTTATACACCTATATATTTTTAAATCGTCAGCAAATAACAAACATTTTGTGAAAGACAATACTTTAGGCAAGTCATTTATCATAATTTGAAAGAGGGTAGGTCCTAACGTGCTACCTTGACTCACCACAGACCTCGTAAAGAAGTGTTTAGATTCGTATCCGTTCAACCTAACATACTGACATCTATCTTTGAGGTAGCTTGCAAAAAAATGCAGTAGTGAGGGAGTAAAACCTATTTCCGATAGCTTTATTAATAATTTATCGTTATCTACAAGGTCAAAAGCTTTTTTGTAGTCAAAATAGGCCGCATCAACTTGCCGCCCAGCGTCCATTTCCGCAGAGACGTAATCTACCAGGGGTATCAAATTAGTGGTAGTCGATCGCCCTTTTCGAAAGCCGTGCTGACACTCGTGTAATTGATCACCTATCTGCCGACTTATGTGATGGTTAATTATTGCCTCGAATAGTTTGGCAAAAACGGATAGTACGGCTATTGGTCTATAGGCTGCAATATTAGAACCGGGTTCTCCTTTTGGAATTGGTGTCACCCTAGAGAGCTTCCATAAATCTGGATATTTAGCCTGACTTAGTGAAAGATTGTACATGTACAACAACGGGGTTCTGAAGATTGAAATGCAATCTTTGACCAGGAATATCGGGATACCATCAGGTCCGCCTGATGATCGAAACTTAAGGCGCTTCACGGCTTTATCTAGGTCTTCTTTATCTATGGTCGAGATAGATATTAATTTCGCGCCGGCTATTGATCGAGCCTTTCGTGCAGCTTCGTCAGTATCTAAACGTGGCATTTCATCCAGAAACACTGTACTAAAATACTGAGCAAACGCTTCAACAGCCTCTTGCCCAGAAAATACCTCCCCATTATGTGTAAATGAGTCTATAAATCGTCTGTCTTTTCTCTTATCTTTAACATATTCCCAAAACTTTAATGGTTCGTCAATTATATTTTTTTGTATAGTCTGCACGTGTTGTTGATAAGCGTAGTCAATAAGCCTTTTTGTATGCCACCTATAGTACTTATACAATTCTCTATTAAACTCCTTGCCTTCTAATTTGTACCTTTTCAAATGAAAATATTTTGATTTTAGGTTGTATATGATTTCCGTCGTGTACCATTTAGGGTATTTGTATTGACTGATATTATTATTATGCGATGACCTATTCCTAAGTGGAACATATAAATTTACGCAATCATATAGTTTCTCATAAAAAAAGTTCACGCTTAAGTCAACATCGCTAATTTCTAATAAATCTGACCAATCGATAGTAGCTAGAGCACTGTACAATGCTGAAAAGTCTGTTTTGCGCCAGTTCCAGTCAGGACACGTGTCCGAATGAGAAACTGGCGGTCGCGGAACCTGTTGCAAAGGGCCTGTCCCTATTTTTAGTTTAATAGATATATCGAGGGGAGGGTGATAACTGTCCACTTGAACTAGAGGTTCATCGTTAGCTGACACCACCACCTGACCGGGCACAAGATCACTCAAGACAAGGTCCAGCATGCCACCACGATTATTTAATACATGGTTGTTTTCTCGTAATTGACAGAATTCACAGAAGTTGTCAAACTGATTTTTGACATTTACACTGCAGGAATTTAAATTGAAATCTCCAACAATCAAAACGTTCAGACTAGGATATGCGCAAATAACATTTTCTATACACGACAACACATTCAAATATTGGTCATCTTTATAATTTGGAGACAAATACACAACAAAACATAATAGTTTTATACTCTTCCATTTTATAATAGCACAAATTAATTCTTTATCAGGCGTAAGGCCATCTATATCCGTAATGACTTGTACAGAATAGCACTCTCGTACGGCAAGCATAACTCCCCCCCACCCGGTGTCCCCAGCTCGATCTTTGCGAATCACAAAGTAACCAGCAGGAAAAAGTTCGCCGTCACGTACTGAGCTTGTTAAAAATGTCTCTGTTAGAGCAACAACATCTAATGCATGCTTATTAATATTATTTAAAAACATTACAGTTTTTGAACGCAAGCCACGCACGTTCTGATAGTATAATCGAATAGTTTTTATAGCGGTTTTATCATAATTATTGTTTTTCTTGCTTACCACGAAAGTTATGGCTCCAATGTTTAACACAAATGTCCTCTGACCAATTGTTTGGGGACATAACTTGTTCTGCGTGCCTAATTGGGACCCCAAGTTTAAAAGATGCGTAGCTACCACGAGCTTTCAATGTCTCCACAGAACAGACATCCTCCCCACACACTGCAGCGAGATGCTCACGCACTTGTTCCGCCGTAGTCCCCTCTTGCAGGTAGTAAAGATGCAGGAACCGCTTTCTTTCAGCCGCTCGTAACAGGGTTGCTCCAGGCGCCGCAGTACCGCGTAGTACACCAGATAAAGGTGGTCGTACCCTTTTGCGTTTTAGCTCGGTCCATCCTTGGTTGTCCAACTCCTCCGCATGTTTATCTTGTACTGTAGTGTCAGTAGAAGTTGGAGTAGGAATATCAGCACAATTTTTACTCGTAATATGGACAGAAACCTGGTTTTCCCGGGGGTTTTGCGATTCGATGAAAACAGGACTCGGGGTTGAATTTGGAAGCCCGTGATTTTTTCCTATCGAATCTTTCTTCTTTTTTTCATTGCCACGATTATTCTGACTTCCCAACGAAGTGATTTTCGAATGAGATACGGTCACGCTATTAGGCTCACTTTCATTTAATCTTTTATGTATGGCCGATTGAACGCCTGCAATTTTTTGCGTAGCAACCATTTGCTGTTCCGAGTCGTTGCATAGTCGGGCAATCATAGACAAAGGTTCCTTCATAATTGCCTGTAACTCCTCTCTTATAACTTTTCTCAGTAGGTTTAAATCACCACACATACAGCTATAACCTTTATTCGTTTTTTGCCCACGGCGCACAGTGATATTTTCAAATTCAGATTCAGACATCGTATTATCAATCATATCAGTAAAAGTATTCTCATTACAATTTGATGTACTCATAAGCAAACGAACAGGAGTATTTAAATTGCTGCCCTTAGGAATTTTGCTTTTACATGACACACATATCCATGACTGCACAACCTCATGAGTAAGGGAAACGTATTGCTCAGTAGTAAGACCGGTGCATGGTAAGTCATATATATTTTTACATCTATTACATTTCAATGAACAGTCATCATCACCAACTTTGTGGTTGCACCCCGAACAAGTAACCATAGTGACAACGGTGCACGAAGTATAGTAAGATAAGACTAGTTTTTCGGGCGGGCTTACAACGATCCGCAGTTAGGGCATACCACGATCCACGATGACGTAGCTCGGTATCTCGCTCGGCGCTCGCACCTCGTCGCTCGCACCTCGTCGCAGTCAGTCGGGCCCGTGGTCGGGCAAATGCCGGTCGCGGTCGCGATCTATCGTATGCCGTCGTACGGCACTTAGTTGCGGTAGGTCAGGTTCGCGGTCGTTATCAAAAATTTTCAAACAATATCTTCTTGTTTCTCGCAAACGGAAAGCTCGATCAGAAAACAGTTTTCAGCACCATGCAAATCAAGCACTTATCTTTAGAATGATACCACACACGACTTTCTACGATTAGTTTATGCACACAAAATTAACAAAAAATGACAGAGCAAAAATAATACGGTGTTACTTTGACAGCGCACGCGCACCAATAAGGAAGGAATATATTTTGGATTAAGGTATCTGGCGGCTGATATGCAGCTGTACCTGGTCGCGCTGGCGCTGACGCTGTCGATGCGCGGGCGGCGCGGCGCGCTGGCGGCCCTCGCGGCGCTGCTGGCGCTCAGCACCGCGCTCGTGGCCGGCCTCGCCTACTACTGGCACCTCGTGCCCACATACGTGCTGCACCGGCCTGAGTAACTACTTACTAAATTATAAGATACCTCAATATTACATTCACATGTAGGATGCTGTTGGGTATTGTTCGGCCACTCGGCAACGGCTTTCTGCAAGATCACACGCAATGGGGCTACCTCGGTGCTTAGAATACGTGTAGGGTGAATGATGTAGGAGTATTGTCTGGTTTTACTGTAAGAAGGGTCCTGCTCATTTCATCGACAAAACACGTACATGACTCCGTTCATTTACACTTGTCGTTTGTCGTATTCGAGCAAACGACAAAGTATGATTGTGCCATAACATTGTGTGTTGGGAGCTCGATGGTGCTGGTGTTTGGCGTGTTCGGCTGAAATAATTAAAGTTACGCAACTTTCACAGTCGGTCATTGGATGGGTTAACAAAAATTTACTATCTCGAGCTCCTCCGTGCTTCGGGAGGCACGTTAAACCGTTGGTTCCGGCAGCATGTGTAATGGTTAGCAGCCACCAATCCGCCCTGGGGCCGCGTGGGGGGTCCTCCCTATTCCATCCATAGGGAAAGCCTGTGGGACATTGGTAGGCTGGTGATGATAACAATGTGTATTGTGTGTCAGAGCGGTGCGCGCGCTATACCGCGGGTCGGCGTCGTTCAACGCGGTGTACCAGTCGCCGCTCGGCAACGCGCCGGGCGCACTCGCCGGCCTACTGCTGGCCCACCTGACCCACCAGCTGCGGGAACACTATCCCCACCTACATCTGGGTCACTACAGGGTGAGTAGTGAGTAGTGCGGTGTACCAGTCGCCGCTCGGCAACGCGCCGGGCGCACTCGCCGGCCTGCTGCTGGCCCACCTGACCCACCAGCTGCGGGAACACTATCCCCACCTACATCTGGGTCACTACAGGGTGAGTAGTGAGTAGTGCGGTGTACCAGTCGCCGCTCGGCAACGCGCCGGGCGCACTCGCCGGCCTGCTACTGGCCCACCTGACCCACCAGCTGCGGGAACACTATCCCCACCTACATCTGGGTCACTACAGGGTGAGTAGTGAGTAGTGCGGTGTACCAGTCGCCGCTCGGCAACGCGCCGGGCGCACTCGCCGGCCTACTGCTGGCCCACCTGACCCACCAGCTGCGGGAACACTATCCCCACCTACATCTGGGTCACTACAGGGTGAGTAGTGAGTAGTGCGGTGTACCAGTCGCCGCTCGGCAACGCGCCGGGCGCACTCGCCGGCCTACTGCTGGCCCACCTGACCCACCAGCTGCGGGAACACTATCCCCACCTACATCTGGGTCACTACAGGGTGAGTAGTGAGTAGTGCGGTGTACCAATCGCCGCTCGGCAACGCGCCGGGCGCACTCGCCGGCCTACTGCTGGCCCACCTGACCCACCAGCTGCGGGAACACTATCCCCCCCACATCTGGGTCACTACAGGGTGAGTAGTGCGGTGTACCAGGCGCCGCTCGGCAACGCGCCGGGCGCGCTCGCCGGCTGCTGCTGCTTCAAAATCTCAAAAGCGAATGCTCTGTGGGATGGGACGACATTTCTAACAAACTTTTAAAATCGCATAAAGATTTTATCGTTCGCCCACTAACTTTTATATTGAATAACTGAATGCGTGATGGTATTTTCCCGGAAGTACTTAAAAAATCAATACTCATCCCGATTCACGAGGGCGGTGATCTTTACTGCCTTCGATCTCGAAAATATTCGAAAAGATTATCAACACCCGAATAGAATAGAATAATTATTTATTTGCGTTTGAACAGGGTAATCAAGGTCATAAATAGTTACACATAACTATACTGTAGGTTTCACCTATTCAGCTATAGAACGTAGCATGCAAATTTACATCAGTTTTTTATCAAATTAATTAATACTATGTCACATGATTGAATAAAAATTACTTAACAGGTCACAAAATAAATAGTCAAAAATATAAAAATTCGATTAAAATCAGGTCATATTAAAATGTGAATCAAAAATATAATTAAATCAGTATATGTCACTCAAAATCTCATCCACCAAAATTACTATTATTTATATATTAGCTATCATAATTCAAGAAATCCTGGACCGAGTAGAATTTACGTTCAATGAGCCATCTATGTAGTGTTATTTTAAATCTACTGAAAGGCAAATCTCTTATTGAATGTGGAATATTATTAAAAATTTGAATGCACATATAGTAACAGTTCTTTTTAAAACGTGTGCTTTTCGGGATTGTATCAATGACTAACCTTTTACCATGTCTTGTATTTGTAGGAAATATCTCACGGGCACTTTTAAAGTAATTTTGATTTAACTTTACGAACTTGGATATCTCCAGGATATAGAGGCATGGCAGAGGCAAAATATTTAGGGGTTTGTAAAATGGTTTGCATGACATATCTGGTGCAATCCCGCATATTGCCCTTATGCACTTTTTCTGTGCTACAAATACCCTTTGTATGTCCGTACTATTTCCCCAAACAATAAGCCCATATCGCAAGACCGATTCCACATAAGCAAAATACGCTGTTAGAGCCGTATTTTTAGTTGCTGTTTTAGTAAGTTTAAAAAGTGCGTAAGCAAATCTATTTATTTTATTGCATACCTTGTCTACATGTAATTTCCAATCAATTTTTTGGTCAAGCTCAATGCCCAGAAAAGTAGCACTGCTTGTTTTTTTAATACAATGATTCCCATAATGTATATTCAATGTCTGATTGTAACCGTAGTTTATATAATGTGTTTTGTTAATATTGATTTTTAAATTGTTATCATTAAGCCACGTTATTATCGATTCAATTGTTTTATTTATGTCATTTTCATGGTAATTTATGTTTTGATTTTTATCAGTTGTTACTACAACTGAAATGTCATCAGCATATAGGATGCATTTATGTTTCGTCACTTTAGGTAACTCATTCACATAGATTAAAAACAGCAAAGGGCCGAGAATGCTGCCTTGGGGCACACCATAATTAGTTTCTGTGAAATTTGATTTTTCTTTATGTATCACTTGTTTATTACTAAGTTGAGCAATTTCCACTGACTGCATCCTATTTTGAAGGTATGACTTGATCCAACTTAGTGCTTTACCTCTAATTCCACCTTGCTCCAATTTAAAAAATAGTTTATTGTGTGATACAAAGTCAAAAGCTTTTGACATATCAAATAGAAGGACTGAAGTTTCCTTCCTATCATTTATACTTCTTAGAGTATGATCTACTAACTCAAAGGCGGTGTAGGTGTAGTCGATTTATTTTTCAGGAAGCCATATTGATTATCATTCAATACTTTGTACTTAACAAAGAATGACGTAAGTTTATCATGCATTATCTTTTCATATATCTTAGATAGAATTGGTATTAGTGTAATTGGTCGATAATTGTCTAACTCTAACCTAGAACCTTTTTTAAAGAGTGGCTTAACAATTGAATATTTCAGTTTATCTGGGAAAGTCCCAGTTTCCAAAGATAAATTTATTAAGTATGCTAATATTGTGGCTATCTGATCCCTGCAGCTTTTAATAACCTTTGTGTTAATTTCATCATAGCCTTCAGAGTTTGTATTATTCAATGTCATGATAGTTTTCTTAATGTCACATGCGTTAATAGGAGAAAGATAAATTGAATTGGTTAAGTTGTCACATAAGTTTTTTTTATTAGGATTATTTGTATTATAATAATTATTGGAATTATCATTATTATTTGAATTGTTATCTGTCAATGTACTGAAGAAGTCATTAAAAATAGAAGCTATTATATTTGGATCCTCAATAATTGTGTCATTGTGTTTAATTCTGTCTATAAAATTGTTGTAACACGATTCGAGACCAGTTTCGTTTTTTATTACATTCCAAGTTGCCCTACATACATTTTTACTTTTTCGAGATACTTTACCGACTAGTAAAGTATCTCGAAAAAAACAAAATATTATGCCGAACCAATTTGGCTTTCAACGCGGCAGATCGACTACTGATGCTATGCATGCTGTAACTGAGTTTGTTATCGACAGACTCGACGAGGGTAACAAATGTGCTGGCGTTTTTTTGGATCTGGCTACAGCATTTGATACGGTTTCCATTCCTATTCTGCTCAAAAATTGTGTAGGATTCGAGACTGTCAATTGAAGTTATTCGAGGATTACCTTTCTTAGAGATACCAGTGTGTGAATATAATGGGATATTTGTTTCTTAGGTTTTCACGCACATCACTCATTAAATAAAATTAGTTTTTACGGGTTAATGCACGAAACTTTATTTATTTATTGACGTTTCGTAGCCTTTACAGGCTTCGTCGTCGCAGATATGAAACATAGGCGCGAAAATAAATCTGCAGTGTGTGAACATGCATTAGGGGGACCAAACCACTACATTAGATTTGATAGACCACAGATCCTTGCAGCTGAGCGGCGGTTCGTTCCTCGAATGATGCGCGAGGCTATTGAGATTAAAAAATATCCAAATTTCAATACGGAAGATGGTTGGTATATACCACCAGCTTGGGAACCTATTATACAGGAGATAAAATCCCAATCCCGAGCACACACTGCAAGACCATCAGATACTATTAGTTCTTTTTGTTTGCATAATTTAACATAAGAAGGAGATAGAAAGCCTCTCTTGAGTTTGTTTCGCCGGTTCTTCTCAGGAAGGTCTCCCAATTTTGGAACTGGTGGTAGTTTACGGTAGTTAGGGTCAAATAAATAAACTCAAAATTACAAACAAGAATTTTAAATAAAATACTTTATTAAGTAAATTAAATAATAAATTCATACATAGACAATAAAACTTAAAAATCGACAATGAAATAACCAAACGCTCAATAAAAGTCTTTCGAAGGTAGCTCGACAAATTAAATAAAAGTTTTATTCTGACGACGAAGCCTGTAAAGGCAAGGAAACGTTAATAAATAAATAAATAAAGTTTCGTGCATTAACCCGTAAAAACTAGTTTTATATAATGGGATATCGAAGCTCCGAACTAATGATAAAGCATGGTGACCCGCAGGGCAGCATCTTGGGTCCAACCTTGTTCCTAATTTATATTAATGACCTGTGTCAGTTAAAACTCACATATGGAAAAACTGTATCTTATGCTGACGACACAGTTCTATTATTCTCAGCTAAAACGATAGGTGGGACCTATGTTGCTGCACAAAATGGATTGAACCGTGTCATGCACTGGTTAAGGTCGAATAATCTGACACTAAACGCGGAGAAGACGAAATGTATTTATTTTACAATGCGTAATAAAAACTTATCTGATAGCTCACAATCACAACAACAACTTCCGGAGCTCCGATTGCACAGTAATTGCAATTTGGATACCAATAATGATTGTTCCTGCAAACCGCTTCAACATGTCGGCAACATCAAATGTCTCGGAATTGTGGCAGATAATAACATAAAGTTTAAATTACATGTTAAAGTTCTGTGTGGTAGAGTAAGAAAACTGATAGCCACATTGAAGTTACTGAGCCACGTCCTTGAGCCAACTTTACTAAATCGTATTTATATAGCCCTATGTCAATCAATATTGACATATGGTATTACAATATGGGGTGGAATGCCAAAAACTAGAGCGGTCCTACAGGTGTGTACTTTCATGCCCTACTTGTATCCAGTTGGATAAATAAACTTAGTTAAGCTTCTGTATGGATATTGCGAGCTCCTTAGCGTCCGGAAGCTTTTTGTTTTGGCTATATACGCATACGCGCAACACACATAATACACACACACACACACACCACACACACACACACACACACACACCACACACACACACACACACACACACACAGAGAGAGAGAGAGAGAGATAGAGAGAGAGAGAGACACACACACACAACACACACACACACTCACTTATCATATTAATGTACTGTAATATTCATTAAAATAAAAAAATATGGTACTCATGTTATTTGTATGGTTACATTGCAAATAAAATTGGGGAAGGGTGCTGAAGCCAAAATACAGGATGAACTTCCTAGTTTGGCTGAGGATGTCTATATGTACTTTGTGTAAAACAATAGCCTTAGTTTTAAAATATTTATAAGAATATTACCATGTACAAATAATTATTATTAGGATAACCCGTTAAAAATACCCCAAAAATTCCACATTTCGACTTCCAAGAAGGCAACGAACTCAGGGCGCGATGTTTTCCCGCGTTCGCTGCGGTATAGGGAAAGCTGTTTTATTTCAAAACTCACGAGACCGCAGTTTTCTGGGGTCCACAGCTGCCGAGGTCGTAATTTAGAACGCGCCTTTTGATCTTCCGCATAACAATCACAAAGCGCGCGGGTCAGACCCGCGGCGTCTGCGGGTGATCGCGTCCCGCACGCGCCCTCAATTGGTGCTGCAAAAACCCGCTGGCTTTGCGGGCGCAAATCACGCCTTGAGTTTTTTATAACGTAGAACGTTTTACCTACAATTTGACATTCTACGGGAGTTGCGGTCGGAAAGAAAATCGCATTGTGAGTTATTAGCGGAAAGGTTTCTCATTTGGAGTAAAAGCTCTGAGGAGCACTTGAGGAGTTAGCAAAAGGCGCTGCGTAGTAAACGACACGTAGGTGTGCGCCCGCCGGTGCACGCGGGATTTCGCTGAACCGAAACCTCCGCAGTTTTTCAAGTTGCTTACTTCACAGCTATTGTACGGTCTCATCACCGCACATACTGAGCTGACATAGCGACCTACAATGGGTCGCGCGTCATAATAGTTAATTATATTAATATTATATACTAGTGGCCCGCCCTCGCTTCGCTTCGGTGTTGAACTGTAGTGTAGACTAAAATGACTCTTCATTATAATAATAAAAAAAAAAATTGAAAATCGTATCAAATATAATCAGAATGCTCCGATCTGCTAAGCTATCAGGAGTTACACGTGTTATTGTGAGTCAACCATAAAAGATAGACATATGCTGTTGCGGAATATTTTTTAGACAATTTTATGTAGAATATTTCCGTCATACATGATTTCTATGTAACTTTAACCATTAAGGCTGCACGCGCACGGAAGCTTAAAAAATGGAGTAAATTCTCCCGTTTTCCCAACAATTCCCTTCACTGCTCTGCTGCTATTGATTGTAGCGTGATGAAAAGTATACTATAACCTGCCCAGGAGTATGAAGAATAATTGTACCAGGTTTCGTTAAAATCCGTCGAGTAGTTTTTGTTTCTATAAGGAACATACACACAGACAGACAGACAAAAATTTTACTGATTGCATTTTTAGCATCAGTATCGATCACTAATCACCCCCTGATAGTTATTTTGAAAATATATTTCATGTACAGAATTGACATCTCTACAGATTTATTATAAGTATAGATTAATTATACGAGTACGTTAAGAGCGCGCATTCGAAACAGTCAAGCAAAGAATCACCTATTAACATTTTTATCTGTATTTACGTTCGGCCACAATAAATATACATATCTAACTTTTGTGACTTCTTTACCTGCGTACTACAAACAACTATCATCTATCAACATCTAAAATGTGTACGCGGTCACACTGTCTCGAACAGCTATGTTAGATTGAAATATTATCTGTGTATTGTCCAGTGGTTCCGCTGGCTCGCGTGGTGGGCTCCGTGGCTGGCGCTCGCGTGGATACCGGGCACGGCGCGGCTGGCGGGGCTACTGCCGGCTTGGCGGGGAGGGGGGGAGGTGGGGGGGCCGGCGTGGGGCGTGGGGGGGCCGGCGTGGGGCGTGGGGGGGCCGGCGTGGGGCGTGGGGGGGCCGGCGTGGGACGCGGCGGGTGCGGCGCTGGTGGCCGGCGAGCGGGTGGTGTTTGCGCTACTCGTGGCCGCAGCGTTGCTGGGCGCGATGCATGGCGTCCAATGTGAGTATAACAGTACTTACCTTACACTTTATTTCATAAGTGATTTTCTTGGAATATTTTCTTTCCACTATAAAAAGAAATTGACATGATCGCACCTGATGTTAGGCAAGGAGGTGCTGTAAGCTGGAGTGGTATTTAGCATTCACGGGGTGAGAGATTGGGTCAGGGTAGGCCAATGGTGCCAGTGATATCGCAAGCGTCTATAGGCTACGGTGACCACTTAACCATCAGGAGGGCTATTTTGCTTGTCATCTTTTTAACACAAAAAGACTTGCTCCTTAAGATATCTGTGTTATATGTATCGGAGAATAAAGACGCGGGAAAGGAATTCCATTTTTTAGTAGTTCGCACGATAAAGGAGTATGCGAACCGTGAGGTAAGCAACGTAGTGGAGGGATGTCACCCGCATACAGATGAAGACCTGTCTACGTCTCGTCATGGTACAGAGGTGCAGGTGGAATCAATTTGAAAAATTCTTCTATACACTCGTCGAAATGTATCGGTAATATTCAAGGGTTTATAGCCGTCTTAATGTATTTTGCCTGATCTTAATGCGCTGGAAGCCCTTCTTTTCTATATTTACTAGCAAATACTATGGGCAGTGTCATGTCATTTTGAAGAACAGTGCTGCGACGGGAGACCCGACCCACACAGCTCTGCTTTAAGAAATAAAACAACACGAAGCATTCATTTAAAGGTATACTAAAAGAAGGTACGTTTTGATTGACAGCACCAGTGCGCAGCGTGTTATCGTGGCGCGGCTGGGCGGTGCTGGCGCGGCTGTCGTACGGCGCCCTCCTCCTGCACATGATCATCAACAAGTCGCTCCTCGCCGCCCGCCTCGGGCCCGCGCAGCTCGACCGCCCCAACGCGGTAACCGTCCCCCATCATCATCATCATCATCATCATCTCCCTAATGTCCCCGCGGCTCCTGCACATGATCATCAACAAGTCGCTCCTCGCCGCCCGCCTCGGGCCCGCGCAGCTCGACCGCCCCAACGCGGTAACCGTCCCCCATCATCATCATCATCATCATCATCATCTCCCTAATGTCCCCGCGGCTCCTGCACATGATCATCAACAAGTCGCTCCTCGCCGCCCGCCTCGGGCCCGCGCAGCTCGACCGCCCCAACGCGGTAACCGTCCCCCATCATCATCATCATCATCATCATCATCTCCCTAATGTCCCCGCGGCTCCTGCACATGATCATCAACAAGTCGCTCCTCGCCGCCCGCCTCGGGCCCGCGCAGCTCGACCGCCCCAACGCGGTAACCGTCCCCCATCATCATCATCATCATCATCATCATCTCCCTAATGTCCCCGCGGCTCCTGCACATGATCATCAACAAGTCGCTCCTCGCCGCCCGCCTCGGGCCCGCGCAGCTCGACCGCCCCAACGCGGTAACCGTCCCCCATCATCATCATCATCATCATCATCATCTCCCTAATGTCCCCGCGGCTCCTGCACATGATCATCAACAAGTCGCTCCTCGCCGCACCTTGCCTACTTACCAGCAGAATCGCAACACCACAAAAATATTTTTTTGTGGTTTTCTGTAAGGTTGCTTCCCCAGACGGACGTCCCAATTCGAATGGAAAATTCGCTGTGCCCTGCCTCTCTTAAATCCAGTGTATCCTATGCAAATGCAAATGAATATTTTTTTAATTCTGATTGTAGATCCTGGAGTGGTTCGGCGTGGCAGTAGCTTCGTATTTGGCCGCGCTACCGCTGGCGCTACTGGTGGAGATCCCCGTGCAGCGCCTCTACCGCGCCCTACGAGCGACCACTACCGCCGCCTCAGCTACTGCCACCGCGACCGCTGCCGTCACCGCTGACAAGGCCAATATGTGAACAACCCGTCTACTCGTACGTCGACCTAGCGACGATAACCTTAAAATATTATAACTGGAGCGAAACGGGCGATGCCCCCCGTAGATTCGTTTCAATGACGAAAGGCACGGGTCACGGGACTCACAGAAAATAATATATGTTAAGGGGCAAACGGGGCGCGGACACATAGTTTCTTCCGCGTCTTTTTCATACACAATGGTGTCGATTCTGGCAGGATTCTCTAAACTTATAACTAAATTTGACATCATTCTGTCCTTTTCAGTCTGTATAGAGAATGACAGAGATACACTGTTGTCAAATTTAAATTTAGCTTTAGAGAATCATTCCAGAATCGACACCAATGTATAGAAACGACACGACGCAAACCATACAATATAGAAAAGACAGGGCGCGGACAGTGGCGGACGCGACATGACGTTTCTTTCTATCTTTCTGCGGGTCAATTATGCTTCAGTAATAAAATTCTAATGTGATGTCAATATGATGTTGATGCCAAGTTGACATTGTTTTTAGATGGTATTATGAAACATTCCTATGTCACATCAAGATCATATCAATATTATATCCTGTATCACATTTTTGACGTTTAAGCGATACTATTTTAAGTCAAAAAGTTGAACGTAATACGCATTTAAGTTGATATCATTTTATAGAGTTGATCATCATCATAGCATAAGTTGATGTCATTTTGATATCGCATTTTTCGGAGAGCATAATACGTAATGTGAAATAGACATCAAAACAATATCACAAATAGCGAGCATAATTGGCCTGCTGTGTCCCACACCACGCCATAGAATTCTCAATCAATTTTCATATTTCTAAATTGAGTAATCGAGTTAAATCGATCGAATTGAATAAATGGTTGTAACGCAGCCAAAATTTTGAAACTGACAAGATACAAATTTTTTAGCGAAAAATTCGGCTGGTATGGGATTTTCCATAGATTTCACTTCAATACAAACATATTATGACAACTACTTAGATGTTCACTTTGCTATCCAGAAAAGACAGATTTCGCCGGATTACGGAACTTCATAAGATATAAATAAATCAGTACCCCCATCACGAACCATTATCGAATTCGAATAGTTTGCAAACCGAAATGTCAATGTCAAATTTTGTATGGAAACTCGAACAGCAGCGGCATCAAGTACGTAACGGGAACTAAAAATCAGTACACATTTGACAATGACATTTCGGTCTCGCAAACGATACGAATTCGATATTGGTTCGTGCTAGAGGTACAGACCTCTACGTTGTGAGAATGTAATATTATGTTAGGTTGTGTGTTTTGCAAGCGCGATCATGAAATGACGGCTTTTCATCATAAGTATGCCGAAGAATTCCATGATCTGGCGAATCATACAATCTGGCAAAAACTTTATTATATTTATAAACTTAAGAGATTGCGAGGGGTTAAAGGACGTTATTTAAATATGCTCTTTGCCCGTTTACGACTAGCCATTACATTAAATGACTGGCCTTCTTACAATATTTTAACAGTAAATAGAACGGTTAGAAGAATCTTGGGTACAGCTATTCTTTATTATTATTTAAATCATACGTATCTTGTTTGTTCTACGCAAAATAAATCTTATCGTAAATTAGAAGTTGACCAAAAGTAACTTCAAGATGGCTGCACCCCTTTATTACTGAAAGAGGTTAGGGCTGGCGCGCAACAGTAATGTGTGAGCAAATTGCTCATAACTTAACCAAATTTGGTTCTGCTCATTAGTTAGATAATAGCCAATCAAACGAGGCGACAGCAAACAATCGATTAGGTGGAAGTGTAGTGGGGGCGAGCCGGCGACATCGATTCCCGTACAAACGGTTTATGATCACCTAACCTTTCTTTCTGTGTTCTGTGTCTTAAACTACATAGTAAAGCAGTGTTTTGTTAACATTTACTGGAGTCGAACGCCAGCCATAATGACTTGCAGATAAAGTTCAGCCCCGATTGTAGGTTTAAAGCGAGGCTGAACTAGGTGGTACATCTGCAAGTCATTTGCATTGCAAGCAGGGGTGTATTTACCCCTAGGACCAAAAGAGGGTCATGACTCATGGCCAAGGGCGTCAGGTTGCGAGGGGTGCGTGGCAGAAGCCATATATAAACTTTATATACGTAACGGTTTATTATGACCTATATTTTGATTTGATTTACTTATTCTAGAGGGGGCCGTAAGAGGCCTGGTGAGCCAGATTTCAAAATACGCCCCTGATTGCAAGGCACATAAAAGATGTTCAATTCGTGCGAAGCAAGGTGTTACGTGGATTGTGTCAATATTCCTTTCATTATGATGTGATACAAATTGGTAAAAAATATAAATTATTCTCAATTTTGTAACATTTGGCAATGTCTAAATGTTGATCAAAATTCTAGTCTGCTAAACAGAATTGGAATTTATTTGATGTGTTATTGTACTGAAAAAATGATGTGTGCCTATTTAGTACTAAGGGCTGATTTTAATATTATTAGGTAGTCGATTTTAATTTGACACTAAGATCATACGTGTTTTAATGTTGATGTTGTGAATTATATTTTGGCGATTTATCGGTGACATTAAAAATCAGCCCTTAAAAAAAGTACACTTTGAATTTATCAAAGTGTTATATACATTTACTTACATTTCTTGTGTATTTTGAATGTGATATTATTGGACTGCGGGATGAGACATGAGATCCATCTTAGTGTAAGCGTGCGTGTCTTGGTTACACAATTAGTGCTTAGTTTAGGTATTGGTAACATAAATTTATTGTAAATATAATTATTTTGTTTCATTTCTTTTCTTCTGGACTATTCCGGAACAAAGCAAATGGTTGGATGCCCACGAGGAACGGTAAAAATAAAACTAATATAAAGACCTTCCTGGCAGTGGTATATACGCAGGGTTTCATGGCGTCGCCTACTCGGAGGTCCCGGGTTCGAATCCCGGTGGGCACAAACCTACCTATACCTTACCGGTACCTTAGTCATAGATGTTTTTATATATTTCTAGATAAAATATACTTATATATGTATGAGTATATGTATTCTGTCAGTTACCCTAACATCCCATAACATAAGCCTTACCGTTCTTACTTTGGGGCTAGGCTAATTGGAGTGAGGGAATATTTATTTATTTTTATATCCAGTAACGTTAATTTCATCTTTTTTCCAAAATTAAAAAATCTCTACCCGCTTTTAGACGACTTCTTTCATGAAACATCTCCATTTAATAACTCAAGACGTTAAACTCAGGATCCTAAGGATCACCTGCAGCAAATTAAGGCTTAATTAATCCTGTAAAACATAAGCATTCCATTTTTGTCGATTTATTTAAGTCAAATAGTAACAGGATGAGGCCTAAACATGATTATCCTATTAGGTATCCATTTGACTTAGCATTATTAGTTATTCATTCGATATTGTTGGTTACCTATAACGCGAAGAGATGACACTAAATAATGTTCAATTAATTAGATCAAATTAATTACTACAACATCAAAAATATGTTTTTGTTGTAACATAATGTATTAGAATTTTGATTTTCCATCTCATAAATTATCAAATAACACACTAAACATCTAACATCCAGAAGTTTTCCCAAAAGATTATGCAGGTTTACCTAGTATTTCGATATTGAATTAAATAGAATTACTATCAAAAACTTTCATAAAACTAATCTACCATCATTGAACTACTGAACAGTGTTGCCAACTCTACGTCTTTTTACGTAGATCTACGCATTTTAGACCTTTTCTGCAAACCTACTAACTTTAGTCCCAGAATCTACGCATTTTCTTGAATTTTTTCAAATTTGTAAAATAACTTAATTCACTAGAATAAAGAAGAATATTTTCCGTTACTTTTCTTAAAAACTATAAAAATGTTTATTTCTTATACAGATGTATCTAAAAACTCTTGTATCTTGTAGAAAAGGTTCCCGTCATTGGTTTTATTGACTATATTAATGCTGGACGCAGGATTTGTGAAAGGAGAAACGACAAAACTCTTTGACTTAGCAGGTACATTCGTAACCTTAAAAATTGAATTTTTAAACTTTAAATATTGTTCAATGAGTACTTACATCGAATTGATGTTTGCAAAAAGAAATGACTTTCAGTCGATAAAGTTACAGGAATTAGAAAGTTTTTAACATGTGTTCATGTATAAGTGTATGTATTATTGCTCTTGGCAATTTTAACCACAATTTTCTAGTTTTTTACTCAGTGTATTATGATAACTAACTCTATGTGATCTATTAGAAATCATGGTTTTATAATACCACATGGTCATGGTCTACCGCAGCATGGTAAATGCTTCCAATGCAGCGATTTCTCCAAGAACTCTTTGTTCCATCTCCCGTTTTTAAAGAAATTGTATAACAATATACTCGTTTCATTCGGACTTCTTCATTTCACTCAGAAAAAAGTACGTAGATCTACGTACTTTTCATATGCAAAAATTACTAAATCTACGTAATTTTCTCATCGGGCCTACGCCTTTTTCAAAATCCGAGTTGGCAACACTGCTACTGAAGTATGTATATATTTTTATAATTAGTTAATTATTTTATGACTCGAAACATCACCCGTAAAATGCAATATATACTAGACAAATCTATCTACGCGCCGATCAGTACGGCAGCGGCGCAATTTTGTAAAAGGGCTCTTAAGAAAGGCTGGAAAGCGAAGGGTGGTCTATGGTCAGCTTTTAGATTTAATTAAAAAAATTTGGTGCAAGTTTATTACAAAGTAATTACTGAAGAAAGGTGTTAATTAATAAAAACTAATTATGTGGCCTTATTGTGTAGTCTTTATTGAAGTCCATTCACACCAGTTACAACTTTATCACATATTCTATGATTACTGTACATCTACAGACGTTGATGCACCAACATTACAACTAGGTATTAAAAGAGCCTTTCACTTGGTCATTAAACTAAAAAAGGTGTTTGATATAATAATAATATCTTGATTTTACAATCAAATGAAACACTGAAGATTCAGTTCTTATGAATATAACAAATGCATATTACGCCAAATGACTTCAACATTATTGTTGATACAAGAATAAGGTAGTCGACTTGAAGGAACCTCAGTTACCTGACAAAATCTATCTATATCTGCTTTAATATAGATAGATAGCTTTCTGATCTGGAAAGGTAATCCAGCAATACTTTCTCAGTACACATACACTCACTTTTCATTAATATAAAAAGTAATTTTTTACAATGCATACAAATTACCCCTTCCATCTGTACCCCATGCACAAACTTTGGCAGTCATATTCATACAGCCTTAACTTGCACTTCACTTAATTCTCCAGGCAAAACAGTGTAATCTGAGCACTTAGAAGTCTCTTGCCATTGCCTTACTACTAAAAACTTAAACATGATCATCCAACTCTTGGACTGCTAGTACAGTTAAACCAAGTCGGTGATCCTCGCTCTGCCAGCCCGATTCCACTGCATCTCATAAACATAAGTAACTTTGTAATGATGTAATTGTTTCAAATGTTGATAAACCCAGCCCACTACCCTATTATAATAACAACATGATCATCAGACATTAAAATTTGTTAAAAGTTAGCAATTGCAACGTTTACATCAAAATCTTACCCGATGACTACCTTTTGAATTTAACACTCTACAAAAAACGATAATTGTTTCAATCCATTTATATTGTTTTCATTAAATCTTAGTTGACTTTGAAAAGGCTACCTTTGCTTATTAACTTTAAAGAGTAATATTAAAAGTTAATACTAATGACTTGTCAGGCAGCGTTAACGTCTCGAAGGGCCAGAGCCTCCCTGCCAACCACCACGGTGCCCTCCACCTCTCCCTCCGCCTCTTCCTCGGCCTGCTACTGTAACCAAGCGATAATGGATTAAGAAAATTCTTATAAAACTGCAGTTCATATCTTAAGTTCATAAGTTACAGAAGGTAAGTGTTTGCGTTTAATTGCAGGACTTCAGCAGCACTACTATAACTTTGGGATCAGTCTCCCTTTGAAACTTTTAAGTGATCACAAAAAATTATTCAGAACTACAAAAAATATGTTTGTCAACAAATATTTAGGAATATTGATTATCTCTTTAGTTAAACCTATTGTAGATTAGAAGAATGTACAATTACAAACCTTGAGCTCGTAATATAGCACTTTTACCGCGTCCAGCGGATGGTTTATTCCCTTGTCGTTTGAACATAGGAGCATTTTTTAACATGTCAGGTAATATAAGCAATCTTATCTTGGAGCCTCGAATGTAAACATTCTCTAGTTGAGCGACTCGGCCATCGCGATAGGTGACGGTAACCATGGTCATTTGGCAATTCATGTTATCTTCGGCTTCTATGAGTTTTCCACGGTAGACTTCGCCGGTGTTCGTTTCACAAGTTACTACATGGCCTTCTGCCTCATGAAGTACTTTAATAGGTACACCAATTGACATATTGGTCGATTCTTCAGTTAGCTTTTATTTAAAATATGCAACAAAGTTAACAAACTTTGAGATGAAAAGAGATTTATTTACGCTTTGGTCAAAACAGCATACAAAACACAAACAACAATGGCGGCCGGTAAGTGATTATTTTTGACATGACAATTGACAAACAACTTGATTTTTTGGTTATAAATAATCTCCCAAAGAAGGCAAAGGATGTCAAGTCCATACATCCCTTTACTTATTTAGTGTGCCAGGTTACAATGGTGTAGATTCCGAAGTGATTCTCTAAATTTAAAACTAAATTTAACATCAGTCTCTCTTTTTCATTCTGTATAGAGAATGAAAAAAGAAAGAACAAGGAAACACTGTTTTCAAATTTAAGTTTAGATATAGAGAATCGTGGCAGAATCGACACCACTGTTTGGCACGAAATGTATCCAGTTACTTTTCTCGATATATATAAAATAAAATAAATTTAAGAGTATAATCAGGTACCTTATTCTAATGTTTTTAGGTTGATACCAAATATGTTTGATATGTTGTAATTTGGGTCATTATTCAGTGAGTGTAATTACAAGTTTTAAATTACAAAGGTACAAGACGATACAAGTATTTATTATTTAGTATTACATATTTGATTTTCTGCACATTTTATACAAAATTTGTAAAAAGTTGTATGATCTGTAATCTCTATCCTCACCATTGGAATAAATAAAAAAACAAACTGGGGGTTTTTGGCGGGATTTCATCGAGTGTGGTTGGCATCTTATTTTAATTATTCTTAAATTCGTTCATAGTGGATATTGTGAAATAAAATTGGTGTGATTTTGTATTACAACTGTCTGCGTAACTGAAGAATTAGTAGAATCGTCAAAATATACGCTATTCCGGTCAAGTGGACGTGAGAATTTTATTGTAGTATTGACTACCTCACAGAAGCTTATCGAAAAAGCCAGCTCGATACATTTCGTGCCAAACACTTCAAGAAACATTAGAATGCGTCACCCCGACATTCTAATGTAAAAAGAAAAACAGAATAATTTTACTTAAGACTAGGCTGTATGGGCATTGTTCCACTTGCCTTCCCTGAAAAGGGAGAACTTAACAAAATAAAAAAAACAAACTGTCACAATGACAATTATTTGCCTCTTCCTCTCACACACATTCTGCAACATAAAACTGCGGCTGGTTTTTTGTTTTGGTTTAATATTTTATAAGTATTACGTTGCAATGGCAGCATCTGCTGTTTTGAAAATAGAGCAAGATGTCGAGACTTGTTGCTTGTGTGGTAATACTGGCGAGCTCCTATCGCCAGAAGAGCATGACACAAACACGGCGCCGATGCAGATGCCGCTTCGCGCGATGTTGCTGCACCTCAACAACAACAAGGTGAGCGGAGCTCAAGAATACTACCTTGATAGTTAATTTAAAGCTACACCGCTGTGTACTTAAAGTGATTACACGTTTCCAGGTTGTGCCAGAGGGACGCATGTGTGGCGACTGTATTCGTCGAGCGATCGAATCGTACGAGTTCAGTAGCTCATTGTCATCTAAAGGAGTGCCTCCCTTGAGTGAGAAGATTCGTGCTCTACGGCGTCGCTTGCACGAGCTCACACAGAAGATAGATGTGTTCATTGTGGTCGGCGGTCCAGGGGCCAATGCGGGGGGCACTTATAGCGAGGATGACATTATCATGGTGGAGAAAGACGCGCTAGCTGCGGCAGCTGCGGCCGATGATGAAGACATGGAGCGTGCGAGGAATGCTCGCGGGGACACTGTGTATCAGTGCTCTGTTTGCCCCCATTCATTCCAGGTAAATTCTTATCTATTACGTAGTGAGCAATGAATTGGCATGTTAGGTATAAGTAGTAGGGGTACTTAATTCCATTAGCTGTGGTTGAATTACGGGGTAGTTTTGATGTGGGGGGGAGGCCCCCCCTTCCTTGACTTTGATTTTGTGTACGTGTTTTCTAATAATTAATATTTTGCATGACAAAAATTTCAGCTAATGGAAAGCTGAGCCATAGTAGGGGTGTAAAAGTGATGAAAATAGCATATACAGTGGATTTTGGGTATAACGACTATGAAGGGACCACTCTATTTTTGTCGTTATATCTGGTAGTTACAGGCAAAGGTAAAGAGACACGAGACAAATACACATGTATAGTTTATATTCATTTATAAATGATTTCCGCCTTTTCTTTAACAGTGAATGTGCGTTTAGCAGCCATACTTATTCAAAAATTTAGTAACCACAGCTGCTACTCAGAATATCACTTTGTAACTGAACCATAAATTTAACTCCGAAACGTACACACTTCCGTACCTACTAAGCTGATATCTATAAACAAATGGTAAAGGTCTCCACATTTGCTGGCCATCTGTGTGGATCTAAACAAAGGACAAGCAATGTTTGTGAAAGAAAGAAATCTGTGTCTTTTTCAGCCAAATGTGGTCGCAATATAACATATACCTTGTTATGTATACCTTGTAATAAGGTCGAAATGTAGTGACACTAAACTTTTTGCCTAACACCAAATTGATGTACTAACCTACATTTCACAATAAATCATTTGAATTTGAAAATATCTGCATGGGATTTCTTGAAATTTGTTACAAATGATTCATTAAAACAGTCGCTGCACCCGAACTCGGCCTTAAATCCAAAGTCGCTATAGCCACATGAATTTTGTACTAAACTATGCTTTAAATTCAAGGGACTTAGATTTAATGTTGTAATATGAGAAATCCACTGTACGTGTGTTTTAAACATATTTTGAACTTGACTTGTTGTTTTGTGTATAAGTAAATTAAAATTTAATTCTATTGAATATGTTAATAGGTTTAAATTACATGAAAATGAATTTAATTACCCCAAAGTTCTGACGGGAACAAGTGAATTTGCAATGGATTTGCATTTGATTACAGTTTGAAGATTCGATCTGTGAAAATATGTAATATTTCAATAACACGGCAAATAGTTATGCATTGACTAAAATAAATATTATGTTATATATATATAAAAAGTAGGTAATTTTAAAATAATAAGTCAAAGTCCCTTATCATGCAAGTAATGAAAGCATTTTTGTGTAAGGTGTCAGTACCTGGTAATAGATGGCAAATCCATTACTCAGGAGTGTATACATACGGTTTGCTAAGGTTCCAAGAAATAGACTTATTTTTATGCCTCGCCACTGGTTTATCACAATACTAGAGATCTATTCTCATTTTGCTTCGATGAAGAATACAACTACTCTCAGCACTTTGAACACTATAGTTTTGTTCTCGGGCATGCATTATACGTATAATACTTGTCTGTATTAACCAACCTAATCTTAAATCACTATTTATTGATATGAACTGCATTAAGACTTAAGCACACTGTACAGACAGTGGGACCACCTTTTCTCATACCAATGATATGTATTGAGGAGTTCGATGGCACAAGTGGTAGGCGCGTTCGGCTACAATCGTTGAAGTTAAGCTACTTTTGCAGTGGTCGGTCGTGGTGGATGATGACTAATTTTTTTTTCTTCGTTTATCAGGTAGATTATCAAAAAGTATTGGACACGTATTTTTTCTTTTTTCACATAATATAAACATTGCAGAGATATATTGATTTGAAAAGTCGCATGACGTCACGTTTGAGTACACTTATAAGTGAAAATTTACTCAAAAGTGACGTCACGAGCCCCTACTCCCAAACTTTGACGCGCTATAACTTTGTCATTTTTTGGTTGATTGCCCAAAGAAAAAATACGTGTCCATTATTTTTTGATCATCTAACTGACGGACTAAATAGAATTTCGTTTACTGTACCCCGTCATCACCCCTATTGGATGGGTGATCAAAAATTTACCATCGCGAGCTCCTCCGTGCTTCGGAAGGCACGTTAAGCCGTCGGTCCCGGGTGGTCGGCACCGGGCTCGCGTGGCGGGTCACGGCCCGAACTCCCTATCCCATCCATAGGGAACACCCGTGCCCCGTGGACATTAACATCATTAGGCTGATGATGATGAGGATGAATGATACGTAGCGAGTGTCGGAGTACCGCGCGCACATGTCCCAGCACCCCGCGGACGCGCTGCACTCGTGCTGGACGTGCGGCGCGCAGTTCGCGGCCAGGGAGGCGCTGCGCGACCACGCCGACACGCACGCCGATCAGGGAGCGTTGGTTTGCTACCTGTGTTCTACTACCTTCCAGGTATGTAGTCTAGCGTTTGCATACTTATTGAAGTGGAACTTCTTTACGCACGCTTGGCTTGGGGGGTAAGCTGGCGAATGCGTTACGCGTTACGAAAAGTGTGGTCGAGCGAACGGAAGTTGAGTGGGGGATATAAGCAAGAGAAAGCAGTGCAGTCTTTATCTTATAGCTAATGAATGAAATATGTATATGTACATACCTATATAATATAGATATTGTGTACACACACTTATATATACAGGGTGGTCCAACTAGTGACGTCAACAATTTTTTTTAGATTCTTCGCACCTGGAGGTATCCGAGAATACCCCATGTATGTTCCGCGATTTTTTAACTCGAAAACTAAGAGAAATCGCAGAACATACATGGGGTATTTTCGGTGGGGTAAAATTGGTTGACGTCTATATATATATACATACAGATGGAGCTAAAGAAGTTTCACTTCAGGTCATAAACCACTTTACCTAACCACTCGTTCTTTTATTGATGGCCATATACATATTGTTATAAACTTTAATGGTCACTAAAATTATAGCTAATTGGATAATAGGATTGTTACTATGTACCTTATTTTAATGAGTTTCCGATATTGGGGCACTGTTGCAAGCGCCATGATCGCGAAGTAACTGAAGTATGTAATTGCCGGTAGATGTTATTGGCGGAAATATCAGTCTCTATTCCTGTAGCACTATCTTCTCAAATTTACATTGTATCGCGTTAACTGCCAAACTCCATAGTAATTTGATAATTGTTCGTGATAAAAACACGTTACAAATCATATCGCGGTGCTCATGCTAGGGGGGCTGACGTCGTCTTTTATTGCCGTTGATAGCCCTACCACTGGTCACATTCTCACTATTCACTCACACCTGTTCCCGACACACAATACTCACAGGAGCAGATCGCGGAACATGATTTTTTGATTTTGACGTGACAACGTCTTAAATTAGGTTGCGGCTGGGAGTCACTTATGAAAAAGTGTAACGCTCGGTAACGTTACGATGAGTCTCTCGTGTTAAGTTTAAGTTTACATGTACAATGTTTTAGTAAACAAAATATATTTCTATAGTTAAAATTTGTGCAATTCTTATTTTCATTCAATTCCTTGTTCCTATTGTGCAATTTAATTATATTCATATCAATAAATATTCTACCGAGAAAAAGACGTTGTCACGTAAAATCTTCGCCCGTAAAACCGACTTTACAGGCAACCATTTTTTTTTGCTCATACAAACCACTGGATTCCAGACACTTGACAATTTAAACCCATCCTCACGATTGAAAATTCTTATGTTTGGTTATTTCAATTGCTTCCCTGACCAATCTTGGTATGTAATGGCGTTATGTTGAGATAATTGTCTGCCAATTCTAATTTAGCAATGACTCTAGTTACTCCGTGATCATGGCACTTGCTACAGTGCACAACAAGGTACATGGTAGCAATCCCGTTAATAGCTATAATATTTATGGGCAATTTCAATAATCAGACTCCTGTAAAAGGGAAGCATAATCGGGTTCCTTTACTTAGAAACAGTAGTTTTTATAATCTTAATAATAAATATAACGTAAACCTCCACTACACTTCCTGCGAAGTTACCTGAGGTTGAGCCACAGACTCAACGATATTAAATACCCTAGATACACCAGCACGAACAAAATCGTGCCCGAAACCTGTCCACAAGGTACATTGGTGTTATCCACGCGTATATAGTGTGAGTGTGTATGTAGTGTGTTTGGGAGCTGCGTCGCCATGAAGGCACATGCGCGGGCGCGTGCCCGGGCTGCGGGGCCTGGATCGGAGACCGCGTGGCCCTGTCAGCCCACGTGTTGTCGACGCGTATATAGTGTGAGTGTGTATGTAGTGTGTGTGGGAGCTGCGTCGCCATGAAGGCACATGCGCGGGCGCGTGCCCGGGCTGCGGGGCCTGGATCGGAGACCGCGTGGCCCTGTCAGCCCACGTGTTGTCGACGCGTATATAGTGTGAGTGTGTATGTAGTGTGTGTGGGAGCTGCGTCGCCATGAAGGCACATGCGCGGGCGCGTGCCCGGGCTGCGGGGCCTGGATCGGAGACCGCGTGGCCCTGTCAGCCCACGTGTTGTCGACGCGTATATAGTGTGAGTGTGTATGTAGTGTGTGTGGGAGCTGCGTCGCCATGAAGGCACATGCGCGGGCGCGTGCCCGGGCTGCGGGGCCTGGATCGGAGACCGCGTGGCCCTGTCAGCCCACGTGTTGTCGACGCGTATATAGTGTGAGTGTGTATGTAGTGTGTGTGGGAGCTGCGTCGCCATGAAGGCACATGCGCGGGCGCGTGCCCGGGCTGCGGGGCCTGGATCGGAGACCGCGTGGCCCTGTCAGCCCACGTGTTGTCGACGCGTATATAGTGTGAGTGTGTATGTAGTGTGTGTGGGAGCTGCGTCGCCATGAAGGCACATGCGCGGGCGCGTGCCCGGGCTGCGGGGCCTGGATCGGAGACCGCGTGGCCCTGTCAGCCCACGTGTTGTCGACGCGTATATAGTGTGAGTGTGTATGTAGTGTGTGTGGGAGCTGCGTCGCCATGAAGGCACATGCGCGGGCGCGTGCCCGGGCTGCGGGGCCTGGATCGGAGACCGCGTGGCCCTGTCAGCCCACGTGTTGTCGACGCGTATATAGTGTGAGTGTGTATGTAGTGTGTGTGGGAGCTGCGTCGCCATGAAGGCACATGCGCGGGCGCGTGCCCGGGCTGCGGGGCCTGGATCGGAGACCGCGTGGCCCTGTCAGCCCACGTGTTGTCGACGCGTATATAGTGTGAGTGTGTATGTAGTGTGTGTGGGAGCTGCGTCGCCATGAAGGCACATGCGCGGGCGCATGCCCGGGCTGCGGGGCCTGGATCGGAGACCGCGTGGCCCTGTCAGCCCACGTGTTGTCGACGCGTATATAGTGTGAGTGTGTATGTAGTGTGTGTGGGAGCTGCGTCGCCATGAAGGCACATGCGCGGGCGCGTGCCCGGGCTGCGGGGCCTGGATCGGAGACCGCGTGGCCCTGTCAGCCCACGTGTTGTCGACGCGTATATAGTGTGAGTGTGTATGTAGTGTGTGTGGGAGCTGCGTCGCCATGAAGGCACATGCGCGGGCGCGTGCCCGGGCTGCGGGGCCTGGATCGGAGACCGCGTGGCCCTGTCAGCCCACGTGTTGTCGACGCGTATATAGTGTGAGTGTGTATGTAGTGTGTGTGGGAGCTGCGTCGCCATGAAGGCACATGCGCGGGCGCGTGCCCGGGCTGCGGGGCCTGGATCGGAGACCGCGTGGCCCTGTCAGCCCACGTGTTGTCGACGCGTATATAGTGTGAGTGTGTATGTAGTGTGTGTGGGAGCTGCGTCGCCATGAAGGCACATGCGCGGGCGCGTGCCCGGGCTGCGGGGCCTGGATCGGAGACCGCGTGGCCCTGTCAGCCCACGTGTTGTCGACGCGTATATAGTGTGAGTGTGTATGTAGTGTGTGTGGGAGCTGCGTCGCCATGAAGGCACATGCGCGGGCGCGTGCCCGGGCTGCGGGGCCTGGATCGGAGACCGCGTGGCCCTGTCAGCCCACGTGTTGTCGACGCGTATATAGTGTGAGTGTGTATGTAGTGTGTGTGGGAGCTGCGTCGCCATGAAGGCACATGCGCGGGCGCGTGCCCGGGCTGCGGGGCCTGGATCGGAGACCGCGTGGCCCTGTCAGCCCACGTGTTGTCGACGCGTATATAGTGTGAGTGTGTATGTAGTGTGTGTGGGAGCTGCGTCGCCATGAAGGCACATGCGCGGGCGCGTGCCCGGGCTGCGGGGCCTGGATCGGAGACCGCGTGGCCCTGTCAGCCCACGTGTTGTCGACGCGTATATAGTGTGAGTGTGTATGTAGTGTGTGTGGGAGCTGCGTCGCCATGAAGGCACATGCGCGGGCGCGTGCCCGGGCTGCGGGGCCTGGATCGGAGACCGCGTGGCCCTGTCAGCCCACGTGTTGTCGACGCACGCGCGGGAGAGTCCGTGCGTGTGCGCGGCCTGCTTCCGTCGCCTGGAGTCGCCGGAGGCCCTGGCGGCGCACATGTTGCGGCACCGGCAGGCCAAGCAGTATGTCTGCGGGTACGATGGGTGCATCCTGCGGTTCGGGACCAGGTGAGTGTCTACCCTCGAGTGTTTGATTTACAGTTAAGTTTTAACTTTTTTTATTGTATTATTCTTCGGCAAGAATCTTTTCTTATCGATAAAGTTTAAATTGTCTATAATTCTTTCAAAAATGTACTTTTTCAAACTCAAATTTTACTTATGTTCCCCTGTAGAATACAAAACTTAACTAATTGAATTAACCTTAAGTTTATGTTAATATTTAAGCATTTTCTCTGTTTCTTTAAAAATAAGAGATTTTACTTCAATTCTTTACGTTTCAATTATTTGACTCCCATAAATACTTAGCAATTTATAACTAGTATGAAACATTCTTTGTTTCAAAGCCGGGTCTTTAGCGAAAGTTTTTAAAACATTCCACAAATACATATGCAAAATTTTGTTTCTGAAACATATTTCTCGACACATGCCGTCTACTGCCCACGCGACTGTCGTTCCAAACCTATGATCTAGGTACAATAAAAGTTTCATATACAGGGTGTTTCTTTTAAGGTGTCAAGCCGGTGCTAGGTGATAGCTGAGTACCATATCTATCGATTTGACCCCCATGTATGCATATGCATTCCTCGATTTTTTGTAGTTTTCGAGTTATCATTTTTTTTCATTATTTTTTAAGATTAAACCACTGAACGGCTTTAAAACTTTTTTTTTTTGAGTAAACATTTCTTAGTATTTTTTTTTAATACAATACCGATTGGTTGTAGTTTTATGAGTAAAATAATCTCATTCCTAACTTAACTACAAAATACAAAAATTTTGATCATTAATAAAAAGATTGGGATCAAGCCGAAAAGAATAGAATCTTCAACATTAAAAAAAATATTTTAGAGATCTTCCTGATCTCCTAACTTATTTTAAAATCTGCGCTATATCCTAAGCTTTCATAATAATAATAAAAAAATGTACTTTATGGGGCATTATTTGCTGAAATCGATCTCTGAAAGTAATGAATCAAAAATATCAAAATTTTCATATTTTATATTTTTTATTATTTTTGCATAATTTTTGGCATTCTTAAGATTTACCCATTTAACTTTAACTTGAGCTCAGTTAATGAAAAATAGTTATTTTATCATACCCTACTATCCTTTAAAAAAATAATTAAAATTTATAAGGGGTTCATAAATAAAACTCACAATGCGAACATATTTTCTTTATAATATTTTTATTTTTACAATAAGTTTTCGAAATGCTGGCCATCAACAGATATGCACATTTGGTAACTTCGCAAAAAATTTCTTCTTAAATTTGAAAATGCTTCATGTTGCGATCTTATGTGATTTTGCGCTTCTGTCAACTTGGTTTTTAATTGTTGAATATTTTTATGTTCTGTGCAGTATAACAACTCTTTGTAAAAGCCCCATACAAAAAAATCCATGGGGTTTAGGTCGGGTGATCTAGGCGGCCACGCTATTGGTCCACCGCGACCTATTCACCTCCCGGGGTATTGTTCGTTTAGTTCTTCTCGAACGGCTCTTGCAAAATGGCATGGGGCTCCGTCCATTTGATAAAACATCTGTGTTCTTAATAAAATATTTACGTCACCTCAAAGTGTCGGCAAATGGTGTTGGACGAAATTCAAATACGTCCGCAAGACATAAGATCGCGACATGAAGCCTTTTCAAATTTAAGAAGAATTTTTTTGAGAATGTGCCGAATGTTGGTGGCCAGCAGTTCGAACACTTATTGTAAAAATAAAAAATAATATAAACAAAATATGATCGCAATGTGAGTTTTATTTATGTTATAAATTATAATATTTTTTATAAAGGATAGTAGGGTATGATTAAATAACTGTTTTTCATTAAATGAGCTCAACTTAAAGTTAAATGGGTAAATTAATCTTAAGAATGCCAAAAATTATGCAAAAATAATGAAAAATAAAAAATATGAAAATTTTGATATTTTTGATTCCATACTTTCAGAGATCGATTTCAGCAAATGATGCCCCATAAAGTACATTTTTTTTATATTATTATGAAAGCTTAGGATATAGCGCAGTTTTTAAAATAAGTTAGGAGATCAGGAAGATCTCTAAATGTTGAAGATTCTATTCTGTTCAGTTTGATCCCAATCTTTTTACTAATGATCAAATTTTTTGTATTTTGTAGCAAAGTTAGGAATGAGACTATTTTACTCATAAAACTACAACCAATCGGCATTGTATTAAAAAAAAATACTAAGAAATGTTTACTGAAAAAAAATATAACTTGAAAACTACAAAAATCGCGGAACATACATGGGGGTCAAATCGATAGATATGGTACTTAGCTATCACCTAGCACCGGCTTGACACCTTAAAAGAAACACCCTGTATATTCAGAGTGAAAACTTGCTCTCGAAGCGTAGGTTTGGAACAGAGTCCCCTCTAGCGAGTGGTTAAAAACATGGCCATACAAACAATACCTACTATGCCCCTCGTACAGTGCGGGGGTGAATCGGGGACGTGTTTTCCATCAGGCTCCGGAAGGAAAAACTTAGTTGATTCAAATAAATACATGCAGTGAAACAAAATTTTGTGCAGACGGTTTCGTTGAATGTTAATATGTTTTCGTTGATCGTGTAGGGCAAAACGCGAACCGAAGACCCGGCTCGTACTAAACATTCATATAGTCAGCATAATATAAGCTTTGCCAAGAATTAGCAAATGTCATAGTATATGGTATCGACAGGGGTAACTTGATGTCCCACATCCGCAAGTGCCACGCGGCCGCCGCCGACGACGCGCCGCCCGCGCCCACCACCTGCGCCGTCTGCGCGCGCACGTAAGTATGCCACACACCTAGGCACGGATCGACTCCCACTCCTCCCACCCCTCCCACTCCTGCCACTCCTCCCCCTCCTCCCACCCTCCCACTCCTCCCACTCCCCCCACCCCTCCCCCTCCTCCCACTCCTCCCACTCCTCCCACTCCTCCCACCCCTCCCACCCTCCCACGCGGCCGCCGCCGACGACGCGCCGCCCGCGCCCACCACCTGCGCCGTCTGCGCGCGCACGTAAGTATGCCACACACCTAGGCACGGATCGACTCCCACTCCTCCCACCCCTCCCACTCCTGCCACTCCTCCCCCTCCTCCCACCCTCCCACTCCTCCCACTCCCCCCACCCCTCCCCCTCCTCCCACTCCTCCCACTCCTCCCACTCCTCCCACCCCTCCCACCCTCCCACGCGGCCGCCGCCGACGACGCGCCGCCCGCGCCCACCACCTGCGCCGTCTGCGCGCGCACGTAAGTATGCCACACACCTAGGCACGGATCGTCTCCCCTGTTTTCATAGGCCACGATCTTGTGGATCTTTGAAGCCAGGAGACTTCCAAGGTGATCCGTGGCTTCTCCTCTATCATACTCTATCCACATCGCGTCGACGCTGATGGTGTTGGATCGTGCTGTTGGTATTGTTAACAGCAGACGCAGGAACCTGTCTGCCTGGGCGAAAGAGGACCCTCTCGAGGTTTGAGATTGTTCGAACAATAGGATGGTTTTGTTCTTTATTCTCAGGAGGCGGAATAAATTGTCCTCTATGCTTCGTCTTGGCAAGACGTTGTTATAGGCCCTTTTCAGTGTGGTCTTGGTGGTGCTTCCATTATGTAGAGCGGCCAGGCCTGGCGAGATGGAGATTCTGCCGCTGCCTGATATGTTGGTGTACGCCAGGCCGAGTTTCTCTTCGGAGTTGTCCATGAATAGTGGGACGCCGCGTATCTTAATGCCTGGCTCGCCTCTTTCTGCATGTGCCATCAATAAGTGAACCGTGGCTGGGATTGCGGTGACTGCTTCCTGGTTTGGAAGTGCAATCCGCACACTGCTCATTGATGGCAGGTTTGAGGCTGTCCCTTGCACTTCTGGCACGGCCCCGTGCAGGGTCGACCCATTCCTTCGCGCCACCACGCTAAAAGACCTCTCGGCAAATTCCCAGAAAACTGAACGTGATGATTTATCGCTCAGGATGTTATGGAGCTCAGTCATTTTCAGTTTCTGGTTCAATGCCATCTCCACGTCTAGTCTCTGCATAGCGAAACGTGGACACTCCGTTATTATGTGCATTATGTTTTCGATTTTATTGGGATCACACTCGCAGGCGGGGCTGTTCTTTAGGCCGAATCTGTGTAAGTACTCCGATGTACCCCCGTGTCCCGTCAGTATTTGCACCTGGGTGTGGGTTAGCTGTGTAGATCTTGCTAATCTGTATGCGCAGTCAACCTTGGGTAAAAAGATTTTGGTTACCCTCCCTGTGCTAGAGGCATCGTAACGGTCCTGCCACTTCCTGACCGTTTCCTCTCTGATGGTTTTTCTGACGTATGACAAAGGGACCCGGTCGTACTCAGCCTCGTTTCCGCTGAGGGCTGCGGCTTTTGCCAGATCGTCCGCTCTCTCGTTTCCGGCTGTGCCTACGTGGGCCCTTAGCCAGAAGAAGTTGATATCCCCGCCTTTGGCCCTGAGTATTTTTATATCCTGTTTTATTAGTTTCGTTAATGGGTGCAGCGCTTCTGGGTTTGTCAGCAATTCCAGTGATGATAGTGAGTCACTAAGTATGTTTGCCGACTTTACCCCGCTGCGAACAACCATTTGTACTGCCTTGTGTAAAGCGTACATTTCGGACTGGAATACTGTGCAAGTGGGGTCCAGTACGAACTGCACGCTGGATTGTTCCGAGGAGTCTTCCCACCATGTCGCCGCCGCGCCTACCTTTCCACCTATCTTGCTTCCGTCGGTGTAAATGCACGGCCCTCTCAAGTTTTGGAACTCCTCGGATGTGTTATTTTGTATTTTTGAGTAGGTGATGAGTGTGGTTTGTGATGGATGGCCCTGCTCCAGGAAGCTGACGTTCCTTTCTACTATTTTTCCTGGAGGGACATATTCTCCGGCATCCCTCTTCTTTGACCTGAAAAGTGCTGCTGTTTCTTGGACTCTGAGGTCCAGCGGCAGCAGTCCTGCCAACGCTAGAGCAGAGGTAAGGGAGACAGTGCGATAGCCCCTGCATGTTTTTATCGCGAATGATCTTTGGAGTGAACTTAACGTCTTTTTGTTCATCTCCAGCCCAATTGCGGGTTCCCAAGCGCTTGCTGCATATAGAACTATTGGCTCAATTACCGCCGTGTAGATGGTGCGGATGATGGTATTATTCAACCCCCATGAGACCCTAGCGGTGCACGCCACTTGCTTGTATATGGCTGTCGCTTTCCTGCACACTGCGTTTACATGGTCCCTAAACGTTAGTTGGTGGTCAATAGTCAAGCCTAGGAGTTTAATGGTGTTGGTAAACTCTAGTTGTGTGCCTGACATTTTGAGGGTTGGTTTTGTATAATTGAGCCTTTTAGTGAGCAGCATTGCATTAGTCTTGTGGGCCGCAAAATTGAGCTTATCCTGTCCTCCTCATCTCGCTATTTTTGCCAAGGCCGCGTTGGCTTTACACTCCAGAACTTCTATAGATGGCTCGGAGAATACCAGGACCACGTCATCTGCGAACGCCTGGCAGAAGGTGTTATCTGTCTCCATTTCTCTGAGCAAGGGGTCGAGTAGGATGTTCCAGAAGGTCGGGCCCCCTATCGAGCCCTGGACACACCCTTTGGTGGTAGTTTTAGTGCAGGTTCTTCTGGCATAGTTGACCGAGACCGTTCTGTCCGTGAGGTACGAGCAGACCACCTCGTACAGGTTCCTTGGACAGTGCTTTTCTGCCAACTGGGTCTTGATTGCCGGCCACCAGGCATTGTCGAATGCGCCTTCGATATCCAATGATATTACTAGAACCACCTTTTTCTGCGAAATTTCCGCCCTTAGGTGGTCTAGTAGATCATTAAGCGCGTCTTCCGTGCCCTTTTGTGGCATAAAACCGTACCGTAACCGTCGGGAGTATGTGCCATTGTATTCGCTTCATAATTAACTTTTCGCAAATTTTTCCCAATACTGGGAGGAGGTCTATGGGTCTATATGATTTGGGGTGGGTGTAGTTTTCCTTAGCTGGTTTCCGTAGTACGATCACATGTGCTTTTTTCCAGATAGTAGGGAAGTAAGCTAGTTCTATGCATTTATTGACAATGTCCAGAAACAGTCCTATATCGCTGGTTATTGCTGCCACGCAGATGTCAGCCGTCAACCCGTCCGGCCCTGGGGCCTTCTTAGGGTTCTGCGTTTTAAGCACAGCCTCTAGTTCTGCCTCTGTTATGTCAGGATCGTCTTTTCCGAGAGGCAATTTGCCGTGATCCTCCACCCAGCCCCGTGTGTGTGTATGGTGTGGTGTGTCCATGTCCTGTATGTCGTCCGGATAAAAAGTGTTTGTTAGGAGTTCTGCCGATTTTTCGGGACCTATAGTGCTACCATCGTGGTCGGTAAGGAGCATGTCATCCTGTCTGCCTTTAGATCTTTTGATGACCCTATATATTTTGTCCCACATGCTTTCTCTCTCTTGTGTTGTGCAGAACTCCTTCCAGTGGCTGGTTTGTGCTTCTTCAGCCATCCGGGTGTATGTTGTTTTTTGTGTTGTGTATGCCTCCACTACTATACTCCTGCGAGATGGTGCAGCGTTTCTGATTCGCCTTTTGAATCTGGTGACAAGTTGCTTCTGAGCTTCTAGCTCTTTGCTCCACCATGGGGGCTGTTTCCCGATCTTTCTGCTTCCCAGGGTCGGGATGGCGGTTTCACAAGCATTGTGGATGATGGTAGTGTATTGTTCCACCGCTTGTTCCAGTTCAAGAGTTCGATTTATTGTGCGGAGATGGTTGGATAACTCGTTTTGTTCAAGTAGGTTTCGGAGTTTAGACCTGAAAGAAGGCCAGTCCGCTTTTTTGGTATTGTATCTGCGAGTAGTGGTCGCTGGTAAATGTGCCAGTTTTGATAGCAGTCGCAGTTCAAAGCTGAGTGCGTTATGGTCTGATGTTGTGACTTCTTCGTCTACTCTCCACGATGTTAACCTATCTAGGAGGGAGTGGCTACAAGCCGTCACGTCGACGTGGCTGGCGTACTCTTTTCCGTTCCTGATGGTGTGGAACGTAGGTGTTTTTCCCTGGTTTAGCACTTCGAGACTCATGGCGCTCAGGAATGCGCTGTACTGACGGCCTCGTTCGTTCTCCGAGGTGCTGCCCCACCAGTGGCTCCACGCATTTTCGTCTCCCGCCACTATGAGGTCCGTCGTATTTAGTTTCTCGCAGGCGTATTCGATTCTGTGCAGATATGGTTGAATGTCGTTGGCCCCGTCTAGGTATATTGAGATTAATCCTATTTTGAGGTTACCATTTACGATCTTTGCCGCTGCTTCCGTTTTTGTAACAATCTGTGGGTCGTGGATGATTTCTAGTTTGTCGTCTAGCACTATGATCGCGGCTTTGGTTGGACCTGAGTTTGGTTTTGTGCATTGTATGATCCTGGTCCCGGGGTGTTGCTTTAAGAGCCCTGTGTTACCTGTATAAGGTTCTTGCACAAAGGCAATTGATATACCCCTATTTTTGGCCTCTCTGGTGAGGTCTAGTGTAGCCAGTTTGGATCTTTGCAAATTCGCTTGGTAGAATTTTAGGGCGTTTTTTGGGGCCAACGTGTTGTCGGTTAGTTGTGGTGTGTGGTTGTGTAGTGAGGTGCCCTTAGCAGTATGTGACCTTCGAGCGGGCTATGGCATCCCATTTAGCCTTCTCTCTACATTCAGTGCTAAAGGCCGTGTGTGTCGTGTCTTTATGTTTTTGTTGTAGGCAGTTTGTGCAGGATGGTTCTTCTCCCTTTCTCCGTTCTTCACAGTTTTCCCATTTGTGTGGACCGGCGCAGTAACTACAGGTGCTAGTCTCCGCTTGGCACAGTGAGAGGGTGTGGCCATATCCGAGATTTGGTGCATTGCACCAGTGGAGACTGATCATATACAGGTCTTCGTTGTAGACCGATGTATAGTATCCCCGCTTCGACCAGTATCTTGTGTATTTTTGGAGGTACTTCCAGCACGGGGTGGCACTCCAGGGGGTTTCTGGCCTTTTTCCTATATTTGACTCTTATACCGTGGGAGTCGGCGTTTATTTCTCCCAGGATGTGTTTATTCTGTGCCAATATATTTGCAACCATTTCCTCATCTTTGTGGTAGTTTAGAACGTCCCTGATGACCACCAGAGGGTTTGAAGTTTTAGGGATTTGGGATTTTAGAGTCTTATTCGTTGCGACTCTTTCCTTAACCAAATTTAGATCTTCTTTTGTTCCACACTTTAAAATCACCCTCTGGTTCTTCGCCTTTTTGATATTGTCTATTTTCGCTCCCGTCTTGGTGGTATTTAGCGAGGTTCTTATTTATTCTATCACTTGGTCCCCGGTGTTTTTGGGGTCGGTTGATGATACTATAAGTGTATAGTTTGGCGAGGGGCGTATCAAGGGTGCCTTCTGCTGGGGTGTTGCGATGGTCTTTGCTGGTTTTTGCGCCACTGCCGCATAGGTATTTGATCTTTCTTTAGTGGGTGAATGTATTCTTGCCAGTTCCTCCTGGAGTGTTCTGACTGGGGACGGGGTGGCTGCTTTGCGGTCCCTCATCGTCCGCAGCTCGGAGTTTATTGCCTCGACGCCTTCTATTAGAGGCAGGAGCCTCTCTTGGAACTCCGTGGTGTCAATGTGGATTTGGGGGGGCGCGGAGACTTCACTTTGCGGTGCTGTGAGATTGCTGGTTGTCTCCTTTATTATGTCTTTTATTTCTTTATTGAAAGCCGCAGTATCAGACGAGAAAGATAGTTTTAATTCGGATACCGCGGTCATCACAGCCTCATGGTTACTTTGTTGCTGTGTCCGGGCTTCAAATACACCCCTCCTTATCTCATCCAGTTGGTTGCTGAGAGACTTTATGTCCTGCTGGATTTTTGTCATCCCGCTGCTGCTGAAAGCCACTCCACATCCTTCCCCTCCCCCGCTCCCGGCCCTGCCTTTTAGGTGCAGTATTTCAGTAATGGTTGCCTCCATTTTGGTAATCAAAGATTCCATACTGTTGATCTTGCTGTATGGTTCTTTGGTCTCATAACCCAGCCAGTCTCTTATTGCTGCAGTATCTTTCAGACTGGTTTTGATGTCTGTCTTTGTTTCGGAGATCTGACTGGTCGTGTTTTTAATGATTTCTTGTATGGCCCTGTTGTGGGCCCTCTCTATTCTGACCAGCTCTCGTTGGTGCCTCGACCTTTCTTTTTCTAAATTGAGTTTGTGTCTTGATCTGGAATCCGAGATAGAGAGCACTATTTCGTAGAGGGACTGCATACTTTCTAGGGCTTTTACTTTGCATTCCCTCTTCATTTTCCCGGCATTCTCAATGGCTTCTTTCCCACTTAGGTATTCGTCGTTTGCAGTTTTTGTCGCCATGTCCATTTCTACACCAGATCGCTTGGTGGTCGGACAGGCTAGCATGCTTTTTCGTCTGGAGTGACAGGCCTCAAAATCGTCTAGGTCCGTGTCCGGACCCAGGGATGAGTTGTCCTCCTCTGAGACGATCAGCATCTGGGGAAAGTCATTTCTTCTCCTCGGGAACGTGCTCGTCATCTCGTCTTCCTTAATTTCAATATATGATATTGACGACCTTCGGGTTAGTTTGTTTTGTGGTATTATTGTATTATTATGTTCATTCGGGTGCGGTGAGGAGCTCTCGTCGGCGGTGCTGTTCTCTGTTTGTGTTTCGCTCATGCATGGGACTGTGGTGCTTCCTGATTGTGGTGCAATATCTATCGAAGTGCTTGCCGCTGTGGTTTTGTCTTTTGCTGCCGCATGTGACAGCAGCAACGAGCAGTCCTCCTGGTACTCGGAGGATGCGCTAATTGCCCTTTTAAGTACCTTTGCACGAAGCGATTTTGTAAGTTGGTGTTTTGAGACTTTAGAAGGTGATTTCCTAAGCGTTGAAGTTTTCGGTATTGCCTCATCTAAGACCGACCTACCCTTCCGACTTGTTGAGCTTCCCGAGCTGATAGATGACATTTTAATTGTATGTAAAGGTACAATTGCAATAGAGCTGGTGAGAAAACTTAGATCTAGTATCAACAGTGGTTAGAGACCTTAATGAAAAATTGTATAAGTTGTAAAATAGTATATGCTTAGTCTATGAGTTGTATAAGTAATTAAAAGCAAGATTTTCGTATATGATTTTTTTTTTTTTTTTTATTGTATAGGGGATGGACTTACAATTGTTGGACAGGTGTTGTTATCATTTGGTGGCTCGTCCGGTGTTTTTAGGCCGCTGCTGAGTACAGCCTACGCGTGTGCAGCGCCCGGTGTTGTGGCAGCTGCAAAGTTCCCAGTGAGTGAAAGCGCCGACTCCTCCAAATTGCGTGGTTAGAAGTGAGTTCGGTAGATTCGATGATTTTCCTCCGTTGGCTTGTGTTTTCTGGAGATTCCGTAGGGGTGGGTTTTTTGGGCTCCTCTTGCCGGTTCGTTTGAGCCCTCGCACGACTCAGTAGGTCTAATAGAACCCGAGTTAGGTGGAGGGGGGGTGAGGTAGCATAAGAGGGGGGGGCGGGGGGGGGGGGTGTTTCGCGGGGATGACTTGGGGGGGGGGGACCCGCAGGGGTGTTGTGTGGGGGGGAGGGGGGGTTATCAAAGTGTTGGGGTTAAAGGGGAAGGTTCTATTTACCTAGGTTGGTAGTCTCTGGCGGTTCACCCTTTGCCGTAGTGACGTAGCGGTTCGCACTTGGCCTATCGTGACGTAACGGGATCCTCTCGACCCTGGCTGCTGGTCTTCACCTTCGGTCGTGTGGTGGGTGGTGGTATGTAAGGCTACCTGGTGAAACGGCTAAGTCCCAAAGACGTCACCAACGCGTCACTCGCGACTTTCGCTCACACTCGACCAGTGTGACGTCAGTGGATGCCTTGGTCCTGGCTGCGAGTCTCTAGCGCTGGTCGCCTGATCTGCCGGAGCACCCTGGCCGGTAGGTGAGCCCTAGGTGTCTGCGGAAAACGTCACCTGACGGCGCCTCTATGGCGGCACGTGTAAGAATTGGCCGAAGGTCGGTGTTTTGGAGGTGAGTTTGGGCGTTGATAACTCCCGTTCTACCGCTCGGATCTTTTCGGGACAAACGCCTCCCAACAGCTCGTACCCTGAATTTCTGGGATTATTGTTTTTTGTTGTCTCACCCTCGGATCCTTGGTGTTATAGCCTCCCAAAGTTGGGAAGCTATAGCTCGTTCAGTTCTCGTTCAATCACTCCACCAACACTAATCCTGGTGAATCGGACACTTATCCTTCACTGTTTAAACTTTCACACGCGTAGCTCCGCTTTTTCTATTTTTTTGTGAATTTTTTTGCGCGGAGCAGTAGTGGTTTCGACCGTTGTATGGCGTGTACTCACCCAAACCCGGTGACGCTGTAAAGGTCGACCTGTTGATCGCAACTGACGGTCGCATACACACTCAAAAAAATACTTTTATAGTTTTACGAATTAAAAGTTTTGCCGAAGCATTTGTTATTTGATTTTGAACTATTAGTGTTCTTTATTAAAGCATCGAAGGCATTGTTTTACCTTTATAACACAGATTATACGCAATATTGTTATATCGAGTGCACATGCAGCGTATTTGAATGTCCAATTGTGACTTAAGCGAATTGTGGTCGTGCACCACAATTTAAGCGGATCATTTTTGAGCCGCTGCTGGTGCCGTATCTTCCCTTTTTGTTTTAATCTGAGATTGTATGTATTTCATTGGTGGTTTTATGTGTCAGGTTCGGGTCCGTGGCGGCCATGAAGCGTCACGCGCGCGTCCATAAACGCGACCAAGAACAGGTATTTATTTCTGAATACTTTCCACTTTCATTACCAATTAAATAGATATCTGTAATAATATTAAAAATGCCAAAGTGTGTCATTATCTTTCCTTTTCACGCTTAAACGGTTGAATATTTGTATAAATTGCATGTAAACATACTAGTATTTTAATAGATAGATCACCGATAGACTTGCAGAGGTCACTCAAAAGATGGATGACCAAGAATTATTTGGAGTTCCTCTGTGCTTTCCAGAGCAAGTAATGCCGTCAGTCCCGGCTGCACCTACAGTCTGAAGCATACCATTTCAAAACTGCAACAAATTAACTTACCAACAGATTTCTTTAATCAGTTTTCAATCTTGTATAGATATAAACTTGGTAGACCAAAGTCAGTCAAGGAAAGAATCCATTTTTTCCTCCATACAATTCTGGCCAATCTTGTATTCTTGAGTATTATCACGCATTTATGTGTTGAAAAATACACCAATTTCATTAATAATATAAATGTTATCTTTTTTTTCTGGAATTTATTATCTATCTGTACCACATAAAAATGTCGTTTAATCATTTACACAGATGAAATATTATGTTTAATCAAATTTTCACCAATTTCTATTGAATTTATTGAGATACTAATGAGGACCCGTAACGATTTTAGTTGAGAACGCAGATTAATAGAGCTAAAGGTTCCATAAAATACATAAATATAGTATAATTTTTGTTTTACGACAAATATTGATGAAGTTATGACCAAATTACTAAACGAATTTTCGGCTGGCCGCGTGGTGGGTGTGACGTCACAAAGCTCTAGCGCTCGGGCGCTCGGGTGCGTGGAGACGCGACTGAAGTGCGACCGGAGTGAACCGCGATCGAGCTCTGTGACGTCACACGTTTCGGCCGACGGTCAATATTGGCTATCAAAAAATTTGTTTTTATATCGCAACGAATGAACCGATTTCGATGATTTAAAAAGTATATTTATTAAAAAGCTTATGAGATCATTATACTTTTCATTTTGAGTTGATTTGCTGACCTAACAATGCTCCTCATTATCTTGAAAAAGTTTATTGAAAGGTGCAAAATTGAGCAGAAGTCGAACGTCTCCTTTGTCAGTTTTTGACCGTCTATATAATTTCTATTAATATGTTTCTAGGAGGTGAACGATACAAAGGTCGAAGAATCCGCTATGGATGGCTTAGAAGAAGAAGTTGAATACCTCGAGGTGGAAACTCTAGAAGATCCCGACTATCGCGACGAATGACTACATTATTAGTTACACTAAAACATAGAAACAGTCACACGAGACTAAGACTTTGACCATTAGCGAAGCTAAGGATTTTTCCAAAGGGGGGGGGGGGGGAATTATGTCATGGATTGAGACAATGTATTTTTTATTTTATTCTGAAAACATGTTAGGTTCCGGAGGGATTTTCATAAAACTGTAGTTAGAGCGAGCGAAATTGCTGGCAGCTGCTACTTCTAAAACCTAATTTCCATTTTCCAATACTCGAATCTTCTACTACATCCATGACTATAACTTCATACGAGACTAGGATTCTGACTGCCCATGAGACTAAGACTGTGGCCGCACTCGATATTAGGACTGTGGGCACACACGATACTAGGACTGTAGCCGCACACGATACTAGGATTGTGGCCCCACACGAGACTAGGACTGTGGCCGCACACGAAACTAAGTCTGTGGTCGCATACGAGACTAGGACTGTGGTCGCATACGAGACTAGGACTGTGGTCGCATACGAGACTAGGACTGTGGTCGCACAGGAGACTAAGTCTGTGGCCGCATACGAGACTTGGACTGTAGTCGCATACGAGACTACGACTGTGGTCGCATACGAGACTACGATTGTGGTTACGAGACTAGGACTATTGTATGATGAAGTCATAGTATTAAATTAAATGGTATGGAGGAAACCTAGTTTGTAAAAAGTGATTGATTCATCAAATTCGTTTCATGTAAAACTAATAAAATACATTATTGCGAAAGTCTGCATTTAGGAAATACAAGCAATTTGTCAGTAATATGTTGAAAGCTCAAAGAGACAACAAGTACTCGTAGAAAATGAATTCGTAAGTTTATCATCAAGATTGTTACATATATGAATACAAAGTATCAGTTGAAGAATTTACATGATTTCTGAAAGATATTATAAGCATACCGACATGTTTGCGTTTAGCGTAACAAAGATGTATAATAAAATGATCTTTAAGTGTCCTATTTGTTCAGTAAGTATGTATAATTGTTAAGCAAACGGTTTATTGCTATGAAATAGATGAGAATGATGTAATTATATTTTAATATAAATAAAATATAGAAGTAAAACAAGTGCGTTCTTATTTCTACGTATGATAATAATTTCAACAAAATAAAAAAATATTTTTTTAAGCATTTAACTATGTGACCTAACCTATATGTTCAAATGTAAAGAAAAAAGGAGTTTTCGGCGGGATTTTATCGAGTGCGTTTGGTGTCTTATTTTAATTATTCTTAAATTCTTTTTTAGTGGATATATTATTCCGGTCAAGTGGACGTGAGAACTTTATTGTAGTGTTGACTACCTCACAGAAGCTTATCGAAAAAGCCAACTCGATACATTTCGTGCCAAACACTCTTAGAAACATTAGAATGCCGCACACCGACATTCTAATGTAAAAATAAAAGAAGATTAATATAACTGAATAATACTAGGCTGTATGGGCTTTGTTCCCTTTGCCTTCCCTAAAACGGGAGAAACTTAAAAAAAAGAAAAGATAATTACTACGTTTACTACTTGTAAAGGTATTCATTTGACATTGTGGGTTACCTATAATGCGAATAGATGGCACTGCCTTGCAGCCTAAGAAAGGCTAGAGAAAATTTAACACGGCCGTCAGGGGCGCGGTAAGTACAATGGTCAGTGCATTCGCCCGAATAACGAAGGATGCGGGCTCGAGTCCCGTCTGCTGTCTGGTCCGCGTGAACTTTTTTCTAGTAGATTTTTCTTTAAAAATTACTAGGATTTTTCTTCATAAAAACTCATTAACTAGAAGTTACAAGGAATGAAAGTAGTTTGTAAAACAGTGCTCCTAGTCCCTTTAGTGAAAAAAAATGTTAAAGCACATAAATGGGGTAAATACATTATGATTAAACATAGTGATTCAATGGGCTTATCGCTAAAATCGATTTCTTCCAGGCAACCTTTGGATGGAGAGGATTGAAAGATCTAGACTAAATGATACCTAGTCATTTTGCGATATAGTCAATAAACAATAATGGAGGCTGGTCACACTGCGACCTATACAAACTGAGGTCAACCATTTCGATCACGATATTTCACAAACACCGCGGCGTATGAGGATAGGAGAGAACAGGATCTATTCATAATTTCCCAGTATGTATTTGTTAGTTGTCGAGGAGCTCGAGGAGCGCGTTCGGCTGCTATCGTTGAAGTTAAGCAACTTTCGCAGTGGTCGGGTCATAAAATAATAAATAAATAAATAAATATTTCCAACACTCACACCAATTAGCCTAGCCCCAAAGTAAGCACTATAAGGCTTGTGTTATGGGATACTAGGGTAACGGATAGAATACATATACTTTACATATATAAGTATATTTATATAGAAAATACATATTAAACATCCATGACTGGAGTACAAATGCTCGTGTTCATCACACAAACATCTGCCCCCACCGGGATTCGAACCCGGGACCTCTCGAGTCGGCGACGCCATGAAACCCGGCGTACAAAACCACTCGGCCACGGAGGTCGTCGGATGGGTGACCAAAAATTTACTATCTCGAGCACCTCTGTGGTTTGTAAGGCACGTTAAGCCGTTGGACCCGGCTGCATCTGCAGTCGTTAGCACCCGCCAATCCGCACTGGGCCCGCGTGGTGGGTCATGACCCAATCTCCCTATTCCATCCATAGGGAAGGCCTGTGCCCCAGCATTGTGGACGTTAGTAGGCTGATAATGATGATTTGCTAGTTTAATGTCAGTAACTGAGTACCCACTTACCAAGTATAGTGCTCCCACATATCGTTCGCTCCCACACAACTGGGATTCATCTGAGATACACATTATTCGCACATTTCTGATATATTACGTCACTTGGTGACACCATTTTAGTCCGCTCTGAGACTTCTCTCGTACAATCATTTTTGGAGACATGGTGATATTAAACTTAAAAGCTCTTCAAATGAAGAGCTCATTCTAAAATAATAAAAAATATCCCCTGTTCTCTAACTACGAGTATACAGGGTGTTACAAAAATACAAATAAATCTTGAAGGGCGTTGAAGTACATCATATAAGGAGACTTCTCTAATATTCTTAAAATATTTGCATGAAGTTTTAACTTTATATAAAAACAGTTATTTTTAATGATCCTCGAACTAGTGACGTGTCTCAAAATTATCGATATTTTTATTAATCACTAAAAATAACTGTTTTTATAAAAAGTTAAAACTTCATGCAAATATTTTAAGAATATTAGAGAAGACTCGTTATATCATGTACTTCAACGCCCTTCAAGCTTTATTTGTATTCTTGTAACACCCTGTATACGATAGTATTTCCGAGTTAAATAGTTAGATCAGCGTTCATAATCGTAATATATAAATGGATGTACTCAAAATTTTCTTTTTCCTCTACATCTATTTAACGATAACAGCCGTGCAACAATATTTTTGCGATCCATGCAACTATTACTAAAACACGTCCAAAACGGCTGACTAATAATATACCGTTAAAGGTATATCACGAAATTGCGTCGCAAGTTCCTGCGATGCGACGTCACACCGCAGTTATATGTGGGAGCACATAGACTTTATAAACGATACAAACAGGATATTAGGTAACACAGAAATAAATGTAGTAACTAATTTCAATTAAAAGATTGTTTAACAATTCAACAATAACATTTATTCTGATTAATTTTATACAAAATCCTTATAAACTAGTAATAAATAACAAACAATACTATGGCCGCACTCAGAGGTAAATTTTTTTTAGCGTCTTTATGTAACGTGTTTTTCTCATAATCATATCTTTCTCACCAAGGGCGGATCCAGGGGGGGTCATGGGGGTCATGACCCAGGGCAGATGGACCAAACCCAGGGGGATTTTATTTAAGAACTTTCAATATTTAACATACCACGACTATATGACCCCCCCCCTGGCGCCAAAGCTGGCTATATGACCCCCCCCCTGGCGCCAAAGCTGGCTATATGACCCCCCCCTGGCGCCAAAGCTGGCTATATGACCCCCCCCTGGCGCCAAAGCTGGCTATATGACCCCCCCTGGCGCCAAAGCTGGCTATATGACCCCGCCCTGGCGCCAAAGCTGGCTATATGACCCCCCCTGGCGCCAAAGCTGGCTATATGACCCCCCCCCCCTGGCGCCAAAGCTGGCTATATGACCCCCCCCCCTGGCGCCAAAGCTGGATCCGCCCTTGTTTCTCACTTAGATTAAAACCCAATGTTTTAATCTAAGCTTTCTAAACGGCAAATTATCTTTAATCAATTCAACTGACGTCTGAGTTGGGATGTAATAATATGAAATGAACTATGAAAGTTATTTACATAATACTCACAATGGCTTTTTATCTGGATAATGCTTAGTGCAGTGCACGCCTAATGTCTCAATTTTTGACAGCTCTTGTAATGAGGGCTATCGCGTATGAATCCGCCGCTAGAGGCGCTAGTGTAGCGTGAGGTCTCCGAAATGTCAAATGTTATTGCTTGTTGGTTGACTACGCGGGTTTATTTCTAATTAAAATAATGTTGTGAATATTTCGTAATTACTCAGATTAATTATGTCAGATACGAGTTACGTGCCAATGAATGCCAGTTATTTAAAAGCAGAGCTAAGAGAAATTGTCATGTCCTTCTTTTTCAGAACAAAACGGAATTAAGCAACACTGTGGCACTACCGATTGAGTTTACGATACGGTTCTTTTGTATTAAAACATGATTTAATTGTAAACTTTGATTTCACGCGCGTATTAACAAACTTTAAAAGCTACACTTCAGGTCCTCACTCAACAGTGGCGCCATCAGGTGAGACAAAAAACGGTAGCCCATATTGTATCGCATCGAGTTTCTATGAAAACTAAGTAGTGCCCCTATTGGACGTAAGAACAAAGTAGATTTTTTCATTCAAAATTTGACGAAAAGATTACCTACGCAGCTGTCAAAATTCGTGCTTGGGCCTCTGAAACTTTATCGGCTGATATTAGTGAAAGAATTTGCGTAAAACGCCGTAATATCGAATAGCCCACGATAGATTTCTTTAAAATTTAACGAGCGTGTGCTGCCTAACGTTTTAGCAGACGTTATAATAGGTACTACAATGAGGGTTGGTTTGCACCAGCGTTTATTAACGCACGACCGTTTGCACGGGGCCATTTATTAACTCGATTATTTAATTGCTTAACAAAAACTAACGTAGTGATTTTAACGCGCATGAAAAAAGCATTCGTAGAAACTAACCTTTTTCACGGCTCTATAATTTTTTTTATTGTCTATGCTGTAAAAGTTTGTAAAAATCGATTGAAACTTATGGTATTTCTCAATGAAAAAAATAATAAATAAATCGTAATTTATTAAAATCCTTTAATAAATTAATGTTTATTTACTTCAAATCTATTAAGTTGTTATATTTTTTCTCTTCTCATAATTCACTATTCTTTACAGTATTAACGTACCTACATTTTATATTTAGTCAGATGGCTCATATTCATTTAGCATTCGACAGCCTATTGGAAGAATTTAGCTGTACGAGCATCTATTAATTATCTTACATAGGAATCGATTCTGGCATGATTCTCTAAATCTAAACTTAAATTTGACAACAGTTTATCCTTATCATTCTCTATACACAATAAAAAGGAAAGGCTGATGTTAAAATTAGTTTAAAGTTTAGAGAATCATGGCAGAATTGACGTCATAGTCTGACAAATTGATTTCATTAGATTATAATGATAATGACTAATGACAATGGTAAAGCGCGTGTTTCAGACAGTTTCTCTATTAACATGGCCTTGTTATCATGACCGTTCAATGGTATTAAATACCCTAGATGCACCACGTGCGCTCGAAATATGTCCCAATCAACAAGTGCTTGAACTTCACTCGAGCACTTTTTGGCTCACAGTCACGCGCGGATCGTTGAAAAGTCAAGATGCCGCAGAGCTCCGTGAAAAAATGCGAAAATATATTTATAGTACGTAAAGTCTAATTTTTTTTGACAGATACCTAATCAATGTTTGTCAATTGAACGCACTTGAAGCATATTTTGTTGTAATACTTACTATAAACTGATTTAATAGAAAAAAATTGTGATATTCAAATGTATGGTCGGGAATATAGCCGTCTCTTTACTTCGCGGTCCAGAGCTGCTGTATTGCTTAATTGCGCATTCAGAACTACGTGTAGAGTCAAAGGAATATGGTCTATATTCTTCCGCATATATATCAATAAGTCGTAAAATTTTACGAGCTTGCATTTCGAACTATGATAACTCTGACGCGTGCGTTTTACTTAAGACCTTATACGGTATGCATCAAAGGTGACTTTCAATGTTTAAATAGTGTCTTATATTGGTTTTGACCACGCGATCAACGCCGTGGATCGTACCCAATGTACCTTTTGGACAGGTTTCGGGCACGAATTTGTTGGAGTTGTTGCATGTAGGGTGTTTAATATGGTTTTGCCCGCTGCCTACCCCGTGTGTTGGGGCAGAGGCCGTTGCCGGGTAATGACAGCGAGTCGCCTCCCCCGCGGGACCCGCGCCCCGCGCCACGCGCTGTGCTCCGCGCCCAGCACGCAGTGCGTCATGTCGTAGCGGGCCACACCCCTACATTCATATAAATACATATGTACATTATTATATTCTACACATATACCGCCTTAGTTAGACTAAAGTTAACCCTGGCCTAAAACTAATACTGTCAATTTGGTTTGCTAAAAAGACGACGGAGGCTACCTTTAGTCCGCGTTCTGGAATTAGGTGGGAGATTTTAGTAGATTTTTTCGAGTTTTATTAAAATTTCAGGGTTTAACGAATTCTAAAGTAAAAACAACAACATCTCCAGACTTATTTTACTGATATTATAGAAAGAAGACAGATCGTCGGCTAAACAAAACTTGGCGAAGTCAAAGCTAGCATCATCAGGGTTGACGTAAAATACTTTTCATTAGAGTTTTCATGAATACGGATACGTTAAATTGTTACATAATATAAAAAAAATTAAGGTTTTTGATCCCGATTTCAGTTAGGTAGTCTAGGATTTTTAATTCTACACTTCACACGAAGACAGAACAGTTAGGTTATAATACTGACCGCATGATATAGAGGCAGCGCCGCTCCAGCAGCGCCGACACTGCCAGGTGAGGCCGCGCGCTATGTTCCAGGCGCATCACCGCGTCAGACAGCAGGCATAGACCCGCTATCACCGGCCCACAAAACTGATACGTACAATATAAAATAGTAATAAATATAAAACAATATCACATCATATTGTAACCATAATGCATAAGCTATAATCTGAACTAGAACATTGTGTAAACGTTTCAACTAAATAGAGGTAACAGACGGACAGGGGAGGCTTAGCATGTGATTATTATAAGATTACGAAAATATAAAACAAAAACACGCGCATAAATCACGTCATCTGGAAAGGCGCTAATAAGAAGGCTGATGACGATTAAGAAACAAAAATGAATACATTTATACTTTATTAAATTGACTTATTATCAGAAAGCTGTAACGACTCACCCTGACGGCGTCGACATGCGGCCGTATGTACCCTTGTGCGGCGAGGTCGAGCACGTGCGCGGCGGGCAGCGTGTCGCGGTGGTGGGCCGCGTCAGGCGCGTCGAACGCGGCGGTCCGCACGCGTTCTAAAACGCGAGCGTTTTCTGGACGCCACTGCGAACGCTCCGTCTCGCGGTAGCCTTGGATCGCCTGTTGTCGAACCACAATACGAATAGCGCTATCCTCTATGACGGTTATGAAGTTCCATTCGATTGTACACAGACGTCGCTAAGTTTACATCGTATTATTCAGCTGCACTAATTAATAATAATAATTTCTAACACACTTATTAGCCTAGCCCCAAAACTGTAAGGTTCGTCTTATGGGATACTAGTATAGTAAATAGAATACATACATACAATAATTTAAATCTAAAAAAAAGTTTACTAGAAAGAGCTGCACATGGACCCCTGCTTAAGAAACACTAGAGAGAATTCGACTAGGCCATTAAACTGTTCTTTATATTTAAACACCTATCTTAAGTTAAATGCTAAAAAAATTTAAATATAACTATAATTGCTATTTCTTCTTTTAAATGTATAATACTTGCAAAGGTATTCATTTGACATTGTGGGTTACCTACAATGCGAAGTGATGATGCTGCCTTGCAGCTTAAGAAACACTAGAGAGGATTTGACACGGCCATAAGCATGGAATTATTTAACCAAGTAAACTTTTCTTAAGATTTAAACATCTAGCAGTTAAATGTTATAAAAATATAAACATACAATACTTTTTATTAATTACAAAATAAATAATCAGATTTAAAGTTTGGCAGTATATTGCATTGAATTGAAAATAAGTTTTAGAAATTCAAATTCTTTTTATCCTGATAAATAAAAGATTCTTTCAATTAAAAAAAAACAATAAGTACGAAATTTATAAGAAAAAAAATAATTTTCTCCGTATGTTTTTGTTATTTCATACAAGCATGGCGGGTATTCCAACCCTTGGTAAAATTGCACTTCCAGGGCCCAAGAGGTGATACTTGAATTTCTTTTGTAGAAGAGGTCTCTTTAAATAGAGTTTTTTTTCTGGCTCTACGCCTGCCGCTGCACACTGGTGTTGCTCGCTCGGGTCGCACGTTATGGTCACAACACTAACCAAACCTAACCTAGTGTGAAGTATTACCTCTTGGGCCCTGGAAGTACAGTTTAGCCCAACCCTTTGCTAGAGCTAAAGCTTAAACAAGTGAATATTAAGATTCATAATAAATTATAACATACATTATCCCAGTGGTCAAACTCATAGCGCATACGTTTAAGCACAGGCTCCAGTTCGGCCAGCAGTACCGCTTCCTCTTGTTCGGTGATAAAGTTGGGGATGACACACATGTCTCGTAGCACACTGGCTCGCAGCTCGGGCTCCTCGCCAACCGGCCATGTCGGACACACTTCTACGTAACTTGGATCAGCTGTTATTTGAGAATGTTTTGAAGTTTCTTGAGAGAATATTATAAAACTATCGATTTACAAGGCTCGATAATGTTGAATATTTGTAACATTTTAAAAACATAAAGCTAACTTTTAAAAAATTTAACCGGAATTATCAATGTTGTAATTACATGAAGGTACCTGCGACGACTCCATAAACTTTGGACTGTGTTAGAGATTTATCTTCACTTAAACTTCCGAAAGTCCTAAGTTTTGGGGACTGATACAGAGGCTTAAACTTGCAGTTTCGGAAAAAGCTGGACATCAACAATCTCATGGTTGTTAAAATTAGGTAAGTGATGAAAGGACTTAAGTTTAGGGCAGTAAAAACCTTAACCTGTCATAGAAAATAATTAAAACTTAAAATTTTCAGTCAATTTAAATGATTGAGATTATTTTTTTATGATTGTCATGTCAACGTCAACAATGAAACAGCTGATTGTCATTTTTTTTTTTATGATACCATGGACGTACCATTTAAATAGAACTGATACCATTTACTTATAAAACGGGACGAGTGAGAGATTGAGTATGGAGGCATATTATGACACTCAATTTGCATAACTTAATTTCAGTAGTTTTATTGTATTGTAGCTTGTAGCAGGTTTTGATAAAAAAAAAAAAAATGGTTGCCTGTAAAGTCGGTTTTACGGGCGAAGATTTTACGTGACAACGTCTTTTTCTCGGTAGAATATTTATTGATATGAATATAATTAAATTGCACAATAGGAACAAGGAATTGAATGAAAATAAGAATTGCACAAATTTTAACTATAGAAATATATTTTGTTTACTAAAACATTGGGCCCAATTCTGGCGTGCCAACTTATATCTAAAACTAACTAAAATTAGATATAGAGTTGTCAAATTCAATTTGCTATTCTGTAATGACACACTATCTCTAAATTTAAAATTGACGTCGCTAAGTTATTCAACTTAGATTTAGATGATTAAATGGTATTCTGAAACGCGTTCTAAATGTCATATTTTCTCTAAAATTAGAAATGTCACACTAAATTTAAGAAGGACCTACGGAGGTCCTCTCTAAATTTAAATGTGAATAATTGAGGCCAAATGTCACGTAAATGATTGCTGTTTTGAACTTGATGTTAAGGTTGGACATGGGTTTATTTCGTTAAAAAAAGACATAAATTTTATACAATAATGAACGACGATGGAGATATTAATATATTAGCTAGATCTTTTATTTTTTTTAAAAAGGTAGATAAGTCTATGTTTCGATGCGGATTTATTAAAAGCCTATTAATGTGTCATGGCCTAATGCGGCTTAGTGAGGGCTAACGACTGCAGATACAGCGAGCAGCAACATAGGAACTCGATATAATAAATACATTTTGGGTTGATCATCCATCCTAAGCTCGGCTATTGTGAAAATTGCTTAACATTCACGATCGCAGAACGAAAGCGTTACACTAGCGCTATTGTGGTCTTTCGTAGGTAATGTACACGTATATCTTGTATAAAATACTAAATAATTTAAGGTAAAATCTTTTATAACATTGATAAAAATCCACTTCATATAAAAACAAGCTAAAAAGGTAAGAAATCTATGTACCTACTAAATCTATAAGTAATACCTACAGATCCTACTTATATCTGAAGTACATAGTCAAATAATAATTAACAAGATAATAGGTATGGTGTCAGTGATATGCATTCTAATCCAAATGTTATTTTGACTTTAAATGTTGGTACTTTAGACTTTAATGTATTATTTGTTCCTTTGTTTTTAGTGGTTGTTTCTATGAAGCAGTTTTTAATATTTGTTAGAAATGTTTTTACTTCCAACTTTTTATAAGCTAATCATATTTCTTAAAATAACCTACCTACCTAAATAAGTACCTACTGTTTGTAATTGAAAAGTTTGTTTTTATAGATCCGAAACTTGGTATCTTCACCAAATGAATAATTGGGATTTGGAACGATCTCGCCAAAAACTGACAGAAACAAAAAAAATAAAAATAGGTTACGCATCTCGGATTATACTATAAATGAGAATAAAATCTTCACAAAACAGCCGAGGGGATAATTACAACCTCTTACCGAAACCGAAATTTATAAACGTAGGTAGGTACCTACGAGTAGGTATTAGATAGATGCGCTGGATTGGGAATTTACGATGCGAGAAATTTTCAAGGATGATTCACATTAGACCGTGTAGGCGGTAGCAGAGTTAACTAATCATCATCATCATCATCAGCCTATTAATATCCCCGTTGCTGGGGCACAGGATGAAATAGGGAGATTGGGCCATGACCCACCACGCAGGCCCAGTGCGGATTGGCGGGTGCTAACGACTGCAGATGCAGCCGGGACCAACGGCTCTTCCGAAGCACTGAGGAAGTCGAGATAGAAGATTTTTGGTCACCCATCCAATGACCGACCACTGCGAAAGTTGCTTAACTTCAACGATCGCAGCCGAACGAGCTAATCGTCTGCGCCATCAAACTCCTCTAGTTAACTTATATTAAATAATTTATTTTACATGGATTATGGAAACATTCACACTATACCAGGCGGTAACCGACTGACAACCAAGCAACAAATGAAACAACGCTCAGAAAAAATTTGGTCCCGCCTCGGCTCGGCCACAGCCCGCTGCATGAATGAACAGCGCCGGCGCGGTGCAGCCGGTCAATCGTAGTGATACCTCAGACAAAACAATAAACGTTTTTGCTCGGACGAGACACTTTGTAAATTACAGATCGGCTCGATGACCATGCTACGGCTGAAGCTCGCCTCAGGACTCGACACGATCCATCGTCACTGATCATTCTTAATAGATTTGTAAGGTACCAAAATCTAGTTGGTAATTATATTTTAATTTAATTTTAAAAGTGGTAGATTTCCCCATCGTTTTGCCAAAACAAATACTTGGCATTTTCTAAGGAAAATATGATTATTCAAAAATATTATAGTTCTGCCCGCAGATATAATTACTCCAACTTCTTATTTTTCCCCAAAATAAGGATAAACACTCAAAATTTAGAAACCCTAAGTACCACAGAGTAGGTAAGTATTCACTCTATAATATGGATTCATAATTTGTCATACAGTAAAATAACAAACTTATTTTAAGTTTCCATATTTGAAAGATTATGAAGAACAACAATGAATTACTAAAATAAGTCAAAATCACTGAATAATAAGTAATTATTGCTAATTTGAGTAAACCGATAATTACCGGTTCAATGCTTTTACATAATCTGTGAATTCAATTTACATGCTCGTTTACAGCTGTCAACTGTGTTCTTAATTTAGTTAGTTCGCAATTTCAGAATACCAATTCTCTAAACCTAAACTAAAATTAGCTCTCTAATTTTAAGTTTAGGTTTAGAGAATGTAACTCCAGAATCGGTCCCATTGTACATGTAAACTTAAACTCATCGTAACGTTACCGAGCGTTACACTTTTTCATAAGTGACTCCCAGCCGCAACCTAATTTAAGACGGTGTCACGTCAAAACTATAAGTTCAGTCCTAAAATTTGTTCGATGTCATTATTGTTTAAATTATGAGATGAAACCTATTTCATAATTTTAATTTAAAAATTACGCCATGTTGGACCCCGTCGATTTGCATAGAGGATGGTTACACGATCAGTTTGGCATCAGTTCAGTCCATCAGTCCAGACTGATAGCAGACTGATGGACTGATAGACTGTTTTTAACACGATCGTATTAGTTTCACCTGTATGTTTGTTTGTATGTAACTGACTCGTTTGGACTCGATTTTGCCTAACTTTAAGCGATCAGATTTACTTTAAACTTGGCAAATATATGAAGATTAGATGACAAAACAACATTATGGTACCGAGCTGATTGATGATGGGACTGAAAGGTGGCTGATGGAACGATGGACTGTCTACTAGTAAACATATCGAGTTTCGGCTCATTAGATTATTAACACATTCTGTTCATTTGTCCTGATGACGAGGACCTGATGGTGGACTAGAAGGTGGCTGATGGACCCGGAACTGCCTAATAGTAAACAAATCGAGTTTGAGCTCTTAACATTCGTCTTACATAATCTGTTTATTTGACATTAAAGGGGGTAGTAAAAAAGTCTTGCAATAGTCAAGCCTTATTGGAAATGAAGAGGATACGTATTTAGTCGCAATAAACTCGTTTTATATTTTGTAATAAACTAAAAAGAGAAAAATAAATTAATTTTATATATATATATAAAATTCAGTCAGTCCGACCTATCAGTCCATCCGTCAACACATTACACGATCAGTCTGGCGGCAGCCTTACCAGACTGATGAAGGACGCCAAACTGATCGTGGTTGCTTTCCAATTACAGCATTATTGTGCATTATGCGGCATAATGCTTAACGTTGAGTGTTCCAACTACAGCAACGCTTCGCACAATTGAGCACTCTCAAAAGTGATGCTTTCGTGTGATGCGTGCAATGGTACCAACTTAGAGAAAGAAAATTAACAAGTGTATTTTATTTAAGTTGGCATTGATCGAAATGTTTTATTTATATGTTATCGTTAGTAATATTATTTATTGTTGAAAAATTATTAAAGCTTTCGTTTCATTAAATAGTTTTTTTTAAATAATTAAAGTTCATTCAAACTGTCAAAAAATAAATATAAGTATGGATGAAGGTACAAACATTGACTTTTTTTTTTCAACACTGAACTTAGCGCACTCTGCTGGTGCATTTGAAAACTAATTCACGTTCCAATTAAGCATCAGCATAATTGGGCATTGTGCGGCACTGAGTCGCATTATGCTCTGTAATTGGAAAGCATACCGTGTAACCCACCACATATTCCGTCCATGGTCAACGTTCAAAAATAGGCTGTGTGTGTGTTTGTCTGTACCTTTGACTTTGAGATTGAGACATTAAAGAAGAAACTACTGAAAAAAAATTAAATTTGTCCAAAAAAAAAAGGAGTTTTTGGCGGGATTTCATCGAGTGCACTTGGCGTCTTATTTTAATTATTCTTAAATTCGTTCATAGTGGATATTGTGAAATAAAATTGATGTGGTTTTGTGTAACAACCGTCTGCGTAACTGAAGAATTAGTGGAATCGTTAAAATATACGCTATTCCGGTCAAGTGGACGTGAGAATTTTATTGTAGTGTTGACTACCTCACAGAAGCTTATCGAAAAAGCCAACTCGATACATTTCGTGCCAAACACTCCAAGAAACATTAGAATGCGTCACACTGACATTCTAATGTAAAAACAAAAAGATTAATTTTATTAAAGACTAGGCTGTATGGGCATTGTTCCCTTTGCCTTCCCTAAAACGGGAGAACTTCAACAAAAAAAAATTATTAAAAAAAAAATTGTTTGTTTTCATTTTCTGAGATTTTAATTGTATTTTAGCGATTTTGTGGAAGTTTTGTGAACTTTAATAATTCTTCACAGGAGTTCAGTTAATAGAGTCACGATGGACTATGGATATAGTACCAGATGAAGTGCTGTTGATGATTTTTGATAGGCTAACTCCCGGCGAGCTCCTCGGGGCCGTTTCACAGGTTTGCAAACGCTGGGCGACGTTGGCAGCACACCGCGCGCAGCTCATACACAGGGAGGACCAGCTGCAAACCCTGAACAGGGGAGTGCGCGGAGTTCGAGTACTCACTCGCCTCGCACGTAGTGAGCTGTACAAGCTGCTCGACGTGCGAAACCTACGTGACATCACCATTTGCAGCGCCACGCCTTTGCCGTCAGAATGCTTCCAAGCGTTGGCTGCTTTAGAACACCTCGAACATCTTGACGTGTTCCTCCACGAAAGATTACTGGACACTTCAATGATGTCGACGCTCGTGCGACTGCGCTCGGTCGTCATCAACGAGATGATCAGCCCTGGTGTGTTAAGCGCCTTAGCTGTTTCCGAGCGACTCGAGGCGCTGCACATGTACGGCCGGGCGCTGTATTTCCCGCGACGTGATCTTATGAAGTTTCTAACCGCACACAGGTCACAACTCAGGGAGTTGACTTTGCGTTGCACTGAAGTTCACGACAATGCTTACGCGGCTATTGGACAATGTGATTCGTTAGTATCTCTGCAATTGTATTCTTGTTGGTTGATGAGAGGAGCTGGGGCCTTGGAGGTGACGCGGCCACCACTGCTGCGTCGTTTACATGTGACTGGTGCGAGGATGGTCAGGGCAAAAGGGCTCAATGCTTTTCTGCTACGCCTGCCTCCCCAGCTCGAAGAACTTGTTTTAAGTGTCAGTGCTTTCAGTGATAAACATATTTCAGCACTTGAAAATCTTACTAAGTTACGTGTGTTGGAACTGTGGAGGTGTCGCCTTTCAGGGGAAGGTGTGTTAGCATTGGCTAGAACTGTGCTGTCGTTGTGTATACTCGACCTCGATATTTTGCTTACTAATAAACAGATTCAAGAGTTAGATAAACATCCAAACCTTTTGAATTTGAGGTGTCTCACAGACTGTTCAAGTAAATATGTGTGGCCACCAGTTGAAGTTTCAAAGACTAATGAGGATCAAGAAGTCAAAACTCAAAAACTAAATGTACTAAACACAAATGAGGTGTATTCTCACAAATACTTTAGAGGTAATGGTGAGGGCTACCGCGGTTCACTGTTCTACTACTGGACCCAAAAAATGCACTTGCATCCTGCGGAGAGAAAAATATTTCCTGGATTTGATGAAAGTGAAGATTTTTATTGATATTTAATTAATTTATAGACATTTTTACTTAAATTAAGAAAGAGATTATGGTCGTTTATAGACTTAAAATTTTATGTTATGTTTACATTTCCAATAATTGTTATTATTTATTAGTTACTTTACAGAAAATCTTAATCATTTTAATTCAATGAAATCCACAACAAGACATAATATTGAAAGTGTCCTGCTCGACATTTGTGTGGTATAATTTAGTATGAACAATGTTTGTGTGGGTTAGAGATATAATGGCTTTCTAAGTATAATATGATAAAGGTTGACATCAATACATGTTTTCAATTTTTAATGTCACCTTTTAATTGATGACACTGTATGAAAGAAAACAGGGAGAAAAAAATAGCCCTTGCTGTGTTTCTTGCCGGTTCTTCTCAGTGCAAGGTCTCCCGCTATAGATTAACAAACCAATGAGGTAGTGTTTGACTTTCACAAGAGCTCGTAACAGCCTAGACTGAATCAATGAATGTGTTTGAATTTGAATAAAGGAAAATTTATTGTTCTTTATGAAATAATGATCATTCTTTTTTCATCATAATACTTATTTGTAACTTGAGTGGCATAAGTTAAACAACCAGTTTATAATCAGATTGCTCATAGAAAAACGAAAAAGCATTTTTCTTAAGTAAGCCAAATATATTATGGGTGACAAACATGCAAGACCTGGATTCTTGTCAACAATAACTGTGATATTTTTTAACAACTTAATTATAATATTTAAATTCTAATGTAATAGCCATTGCTAAATGCTTTAAGATAGCTAATAACTTTTATTACACAGGAATTTATTTCAATTGAAGTAGTACAATAATTATATTTTCAATGAAACATTTTCTTGGTTTTATTGTATTCATTGTATAAAATTTGCAAAAACACCGAAAACTTTATTTCATTAAATATAAGTGGAAATCCAGTTACGAAGACAGCTGATACGGAAGTAAGAATGCCACTCCAGTCACCCTTACTTTGCCAGTCATTGAGTCAAACCCAGCCATCGAATCATCGATCGACAGAAACGCAGCACCAAAAGTTATAACGGTTGGTTAAGTTGTTAGGCCCGTGTCATCGGCTTTTTACCCGGCTGCGCAATGCAAGAGCGCGAAGCGCGACGCGCAGACAGGGTTATGTGTTTAACAGTCTATATATGTATGTTTGTTCCTTTGTGGCACACTAGAGACCAAACGCCTGGACCGATTTTGATGATTCATACATCAATCGATTCGTCTCAATCATGGAAGTGCTACCTAAAGATATGATAGTAATCAAAATTCAATATGGGCAAAATTAGGCGCCATATTGTGACGAAGTAAAAAAAAAAAGTTGACAAAATATGTCGAGTGGGGTATCACTGTCTAGATAATCGAAAATCATATTTAGGTTCGTAACACCATTTTTCATTTTATATGATTGTTTAGGATCTACAACGCTTTAAAGTTGTATATTAACCACTTACGCTTTTAATTTCAATCTTACGTTTGTATGGATCTTTGTTACTCTTTCACCTAAAAAATACTGAATGGATTTTAATGAAACTTAACAGTAATATAGCTCACATATGATAATTACATATATATAATAATTTATGTAGTTATTGAGTGAATTGGCCAATATATAGCAATAAGTGTCACATAAGCCGGAAAAAAATGTCCCATCTGCGAGCCATTTTGGCCTGCACTGCAAAAACAATAAAAGTTACATGAGTGTAATGTAGAGTGGAAATGTATCTCTTAAATAGTTCTAAAAAAAAGTCCGTGACACCATATATCTATTTTTAATGTGTAAGTCATTACCGCTAAAATAGTGAATCAAAACTAAAATATTATTTGATATCTATTACCGAAATGCACATTTTGTATTAACAAATCATTTTTTATCAAAACAAATACTTTAATCGCTTTTGATATTTAAAGACGATAAACTTTGCTTATTATACTATGTCATTTCGACAAATATTTAAAAAGTTACAACGACGACAAAGTGATGACGCGTTGTACTATGTAAAAGAAAAAAAAATGGGGTATTCGCAGTATCTGATCCTATACGAAGCACTAACAATAAAACTGTGATACAGTTCCTTCTTATTAAATGATGAAAAATATATTATCATAATAGGTATTTATGATTATTGAATTTTAATGAAAAACTCAGAATTTTACTGTTTTTCATTTTTTTTAACGATATTACTTAAGGTTACAAAAAAGGTTTACTTAATATAATGACAAATAACCCATTTTTCGCTAGTAAGTACATACTTATTGGAATCGCTGTATTTATTAATCAGCTCGCGATAATATTGGTTTTGTAATAATTCTGCAAAATTCAAAGTAAATAATGTAGATTTTTATAGGTAAATCACCCCTTTCATCACCCTACGCCTATAAGTATTGCGATGTTGTAGCTAAGAACCAAGTTCCCATCTACTTCTATATGAGAATTCATTATATTCGATTTAGCTATTAGGGCACGGAAGCGCAGCAACAAAAAAACTCACTTTCGCATCTATAATATTATATTATACTTACTAGTGATCCACCCGGGCATTGTACGGGCGAAATTTATTTATCGGGATAAAATATAGCCTATGGCACTCGGACAAAATGTATTTAAATAAAGAAAAATGTTATAATAAATAATGTAGCTACCTTATGATGAATTAATATTTGAAACCGGTTCAGTAGTTTGACAGATTATTTGTGACAAACATACAAATCTTGCCTCTTTATAATATTAGTATAGATAGTTAGGATAAGATAAGTATTTAATTGCTGAAAAAGATTTTAAAATAAAGTATGTAAGTAATAGGTTTATTTTATTATATTTGTAAAAGTTACTTAGCATTTGTGCTTAACAGTGATTTTTATAACAAAAAAAAAATTTGGAAAATAATTGCCATGATTGCACTACTGGGAGTGCTCTTCATTCGAGCTTTACACTACCAATAACCTAACGTTATGAAAATTTTATTATGCGCCTTTAGTTTAATCAAATATTATAAACTTTGCTTTGGTGATTATAATTATTTAATTTAGTGATCTAAGGCAGTTGCCACCATTGTCCAAAACAACAGACGGGAATTACTTCTTTCTTCAACCTGCGACATAAACGTCATTGATTGGTATTGTATATAGGATGATTAAAAACATTTGAAGTTAACTTCTGGCATCTACATATTGGGTATCTGTGAATTATGTAGGTATATCAAATTATGAGACTAGGGACTGACACTGAATTTGTGTATATCACAATCTTAGACGTCCGGCATTGACATGACAATGCAGCCATTGCCATTTTTAAATAGTCGACGAATAAAAGTAAATGAATTTTATATTTACTGCTAAACGATTAAAAAAACATAAACGATTAAAAAAAAGATGGCTTTTTGAGTAAGTGCTAGTTTACTATAAAATTTACATACATTAGAGATATTTATGTAACGACTTGATTTAACTTCACACATTTTTGCCAAAATTGAGGCCCATCTGTAGCCTTGACCCCGCTGGTAAAGTCTTTATATGTCTTAATAAATCAATCTTTTAGACCGACGTAAGGTACTTAATAATTCCCGCGATATTAATTCCCTTACTGAAGTAACAAGACTACGGTATATACCGTCTTAAAATACTAACTAAAAAGTGTGAAATAAAAAAGGTAAATTTAAAAAATCAAAAAACCCGACTGCTTAATTATTCTTCAAATAAAAACTGAAAAGAAAAAAACAAGTCCAGTAGGCTATAATTCTGTTAATACGGAACAAAGCTACTTTAACAGTCGGGACCCATTGTTGAAAAATATTATGTATTCTTGAATATCTAATGGGTCCCGACTGTTAAAGTAGCTTTGTTCCTTATTAACAGAATTATAGCCTACTGGACTTGTTTTTTTCTTTTCAGTTTTTATTTGAAGAATAATTAAGCAGTCGGGTTTTTTGATTTTTTAATTTACCATCTGCTACTCGATGACACGGAGCGAGTTACAAGCTACTAGCGAACTAGCTGGCTTGTAACTCGCCCCGTGTCATCGAGGCTTTAGGTTACTGCCAATGATTTTTATAGAAGTCGTGTTGCCTATGAATTTGCACAACAGAACACACAGAGGTTAGAAGGGTGATCATAGACCGTTTGTACGGGAACCGATATCGCCGGCTCACCCCCACTACATTTCTGCCTAATGGTTAATAGCCAATCAAACGGCTCGACATCAAACAATCGAACCAATCAGCGCTCACACGCGAGAGTAACGACGCAATCAGAACCAAGTTATAATCATTTGCTCAAACATAATTGTGGCGCGCTAGCCTCGCCCACAAGGCCCTTCTAACCTCTTCTGTTATTTGAACGAATGAATGAATGAATACTCTTTATTGCACTAATCCAAAAAAAACAATAAACATAAAACAGGAACGCAAACACAAAAGGCGGCCTTATTGCTAAGGTAGCAATATCTACCAGGCAACCTTTGGCTAAATGAAACGATACCATAAGAATAGTAGAAACAGCGGGCTGTGCATTGTAAAAATAAATAAATAAACCTAAATACAGGAAAATAAAATATAGAAAGTATATGGAAGTTATAAAATACAATACAAAGTAATGAACATATAAAAATATCAGTCGGAGTCCAGCTTGAGGAAATAATCCTTAATTTTAATAGCAAAGGACTCCCTCGTTCGTGCACGTTTAATATGTAAAGGTAAAGAGTTCCACAATTTAACAGCTCTTACATAGAATGACTTGGCTACGAAATCAGTGGAGCGGGGTGGGATAACTAAGGATAGGTTATGAGAAGACCGAAGGTCACGAACAGGATTAAATGAGTGAAAAGTGAAACGCTCCTTAAGATTCCTCCTTCTGTTATTTGCACTGTATTACCTTACTTGGTATTTAAACGTAATAATGGTAATATTAAGAGAATTTTAAAAAGTTAAGAATGAGCAGAAAAAATAATCAAATTAGTCATCGTAAGCTTTATATTTCTCATGAAAAATTTGATTCATAAGGTACAGACCTTATGGACAAGCTTGAGATACACAATTTCAAAGATTATTGCATAATTTAAAAACTGGAATTCTTTAGAAAAGGCGTAATAAAGGTTACCTGCTGTGTACATCTTACAATGATCTTTATTCTCGCATGATTGCGAGTAAAGATCGAGATTATAAATTTTTGGTCACCCATCCTATGATTAACCACAGAACCAATATCTTACAAGTGCTTATTCGTATGACCACCACTGAATCGACTCGACTGTCGAGTAAGTTTCGTATTGGCTGTTATTAGGATGGGCCATCTTTAAATTGTCTCGAGATCCTCCCTGTCTTGAAAAGCGCATTAAGTAGTTCGTGTCGTCCGCACTGGGCTCACTGTTACAATAATTAAACCATTGTTAAAATTACTGCGGGGCTTCTTTTGTGAAAATTACTTTCCTATTTTGTTGTAGGTACTATGTAAGTTAAGTACCTATGGGTACAGTCAGCTCAATAAAAATCGAAGTGTGAAGACTGATCAAAATTATCGAAGGTACATAAATTCAATTTTATATGCGCTGTTAGATAATCTTGTTGTTGTAACCAGCCAGAGTGGTCAATATTATCGAAACAACATAAGTAATTTATAATTATGTTATGTGTTAAGATAATCAATTATATATTTGCGAATAACCGTTCAATGGTATCTAAGCACTCAAAATATAAAAAATATCTTGGTAGTAAAGAAAAGCAAACAAAAAACGTTATTTACAGTTTCACTTCAGTTAGTAGCAGGTTCAAACGTTAACCTACTCAATCGGGAACATCTCCACTTGTTTGCAAAGTCAAACCTGCATGCATATTAAATACTTATAAGGCATTCGCCCGGATTGCGAAGGATGCGGGTTCGAGTCCCGTCTGCTGCCTGGTCCGCGTGGATTTTTTCTATTAAAACTTTTCTTTAGATTTAAACATCTAGCAGTTAAATGCTTAAAAAAAACATAATTTATAGATATTTATGAGTACTCTAGACGCTTAGATACCAATGAACAGTTACTACGCGTAAATATTAAAGATCATTATAATGGTGTATATGTATTTGGAGATTTTTGATTTGCATAAATATAAGACTGGTCGGTTGTGTACAATAATTAGATGACTTTCAATGTAAATAAGTATATAATTGAACCTTTACTTTTAACATAATATATTTATATTTGTCTTGTCCACCTTATTACCTCCCTCATATTTTTATGAAGCTGACTGTACATAGCTGTCAACTAGGCACTTAACCTTCGCTTCATGTCAATCAATCAATCAAATATCCGTTTTTTTAAAACCGTTAATTTTGTTTACTATTTTATGTTCCAAACAAGAAAATTCTTTCCGTTTGGGTTCCATATCTAACAACTCTAGTGGTTGTTTAAATTGTAGAACAAACATTGGTGCCGATTCTAGCATGACTCTCTAAACCTAAACTTTAATTTGACAGCAGTATATCCTTGTCATTCTCTATACAGAATGAAAAGGAGAGACTGATGTTAAATTTAGTTTTAAGTTTAGAGCATCATGTCAGATTTGGCACCATTGTTTGCAGCTTTCTTCTAAAGGAAACTAACTAACGCTCTTCAAAAACTAAAAGTTTTAAATTATTTCACATTATTCCCCGATGTTTCGGATTATTTACAGGTTCCGTACTCATGGGAAAGTTTTCAAACCCAGTCAACAAGCGTTTTTTAGAGTTCTGTACTACAAAAGGAAAAAACCGTAACCCTTATAAGATCACTTTGTCGTCCGTCTGTCCAACCGTATTTCCATCTGTCATGAACTTGGAGCATATACCAGTCAAGACCCTTTATCTCGTGAACGCGTGGAGATATCGTGTTGAAATTTAAACCATATAAATATTCAAATCTGCGATCCCAAAAAGCTATGAAAAGATCTAATTTCTAAGTTAACGTAAAAAGAGACGCGGCCATTTATATGTCTGTCTTTCAAGACCCTTTATCTCAAGAAAGTGACTTTATGAGATACCTCATATTGAAGTCATTTTTCAATTTGACGAATCTGTAAGTATATAAAACAGGGAGAAAAAAACAGCCCTTGCTGAGTTTCTTAACGGTTCTTCTCAGTACAAGATCTCCCGTCGTAGATTTGCGAACCGATGGCGTAGCTTTTCGACAATCACAAGTACTTGTAACAGCCTAGACTGAATAAACGATATTGAATTTTGATTTTTTTTGAATTGAACGTGTGGAAGTATTTTATGAAGTCGAAACTTAAAACATACTCATTTCTGAGGGCATTGTAAGGAAAAATATATATTTTTGCACATTAAATAGAATTAATTTAAACACATTAAAGATGCGGTCGTATAACGTTCTCATTATCATTCCCCTATTAAGAGGGGAGGCGTGCAATGTTTTTTCTATAAACGTTCTCGACGAATTGATTTTCATACATAAAATATAATTTTTCTCATTCTATGCTCCTATGTTTTCAATAACTTGTATTTTATAGAAACTAGAAGCCCTCGAAAAAGGTCAAAAATAAACAAATTTTTATCACCACTAAAGGCGTCTAGTGTGGCGATTTAATAAGCATTTACAAACAAATCAAAACATCGAAGCATAGTATAACTACTTATTATTCTTTGTGTAAAATTTCTTATACATATATCTAATTTTCGAGGAGGAAATCGACGAGAGCCGAACCTCGAATTTTGAAATTTTTATAAGCAATTTTCAGCGTTTTTTACTGTTGTCCCTATCACACGGTATAAATTTGCCAAAGCGTGACAGCCTAATTTTTTCAAATGCCTATTCCTCAAATATCTCTATCCTATGGAGGCATTAGGGTGGATACTGATGAGTACAGAATCACGGAGGAGCACGAGAGTAAAACATTTTTAGTCACCCATCCCGCGATCGGTTATTGCAAAAATTGCTTAGCTACAGAGATCGCAAACGCTAACCTTTGCGCTATTGAGCTTCTCCACTTCATCATCATCATCATCATCAGCCTATTAATGTCCCCACTGCTGGGGCACAGGCCTTCCCTATGGATGGACCCACCACGCGGGCCCAATACGGAATGGCGGGTGGCGGGCTCCACCACTTAAATTTAAGTACCTACCAGAAACTATAATACAGAACCCATTTCTCGTAAGCACTTACACTTAGCCTTAATAGGTAGGTTATTCATATTTTGTATTCACGTGGAACTTATTTGTTTTTTTACACTTTAATGGAATATGAATTTATTAAACATAAGGAAATGTCATTTTGTTTGAGTGACGCCCACAGAATAGTGCTGATGTGCACCTGATGCCGAGGAATTTTAAACAGACAACAGTGAAAACGTTGATTTTGTCTCCCTAAGTATCTTCGGCAAGGTAAACATAGTATAAGTATATTTATGTTTTTTTAAGCATTTAACTGCTAGATGTTTAAATCTAAAGAAAAGTTTTACTAGAAAAAAATCCACGCGGACCAGGCAGCGGACGGTACTCAAACCCGCACCCTTCGCAATCCGGGCGAATGCACTGATCATTATGCTACCACGGCCCTGATGGGCGCGTCGAAATTTTCTTAGCCTTTAACTGCATGGCAGCGCCATCTCTTCGCATTGTAGGTAACCCACAATGTCAAATGAATACTTTTTCAAGTATTAAACAGCAGTATTATTTTTTCTAGTTAAAGTTTTCTTTAGGTTTAAACATCTAACAGTTAAATGCTTAAAAAAATAAAAACATAACTATAATTGCTATTTCTTCTTTCAAATGTTTAATACTTGAAAAAGTATTCATTTGACATTGTGAGTTACCTACAATGCGAAGAGATGGCGCTGCCTTGCAGCTTAAGGCTAGGAAAATTTCGACGAGGCCATCAGGGCCGTGGTAGCATAATTGGTCAGTGCATTCGCCCGGATTGCGAAGGGAGCGGGTTGGAGTCCCGTCCGCTGCCTGGTCCGCGTGGATTTTTTTCTAGTAAAACTTTTCCTATATCTTTTTTATTTTTTAAGCATGTAACTACTCGATGTTTAATTCTAAAGAAAAGATTGCTAGAAAAAAATCCACGCGAACCAGGCAGCAGACGGGACTCGAACCCGCTCCCTTCGCTATCCGGGCGAATGCACTGACCATTATGCTACCGCGGCGCTGACGGCCGTGTCGAATGCTTTCTAGTTTTTCTTAAGCTGAAATTAATTAATCTCTTCGCATTGTCGATAACTTCTGTCGTTTCTTAGGTTTTCACGCACATCACTCATTAAATATAACTAGTTTTCAACGGGTTAATGCACGAAACTTTATTATTTATTGACGTTTCACAGCCTTTTCAGGTCTTCAGAATACTGTTTTTTTAAAATATAAAATCAGTTATAGTAATAGTTTTATTTACATAGTACTTAAATTATAGATCATTGAAAGTAGCCGAGTGGCTGATGACGTGTAACGTGTTCTCATGTTTCTGAGCTCGATCCTGGTTGGTAATAATATGTATTTCTATATTGTCCCGAGTTTTGATGCTTGTGGTTTACGGCGATAGGGTTCAGATCGGGTCAAATGTTAATGGAACGAGACAGCCAAGAAGTGACTGTAATGGTATGTTTGCAATAAGAAAAGCTTCTTAAGTGAATGAAAGGAGAAAAAGATGTACCTTCATGGATTCTGCTTTCTTATTTATAGCTGAATGTTTTAGTAGTATTTATGTAGGACTAGCTGTGCCGCGCGGTGTTACCCGCGGTTTATTAGGGTTATTTTCCCGCAGTAAAGCGTAGCCTATGTGTTAATCCAGGGTGTCAGCTAACTCTACACCAAATTTTATTAAAATCACTCTAGCCGTTTATAAGACGTGAAGAAGTAACAAACATACCTACACACTCACAAACTATTGCCTTTATAATAATAGTGTGATTACCCAACTTAAGACTTGTTGTGTTCTCAGTAGCTTGGCAACATGACGCCACATGTCGAGGCGCAGGACTGCAGTTGGGATGCGGCGCTGATCCCGGCCTTCTATAGCGGCAGGGAGCTGCTCATCACTGGAGCCACTGGATTCATTGGCCAAGTTAGATGCCTGTGCAAATATTTACAGTACACCATGAGTCGTTGTCACCAACCTTCATCATCAGCCTAGTAAAGGAAGAGGAGATCGTAAAGTATCTGCAGATCAAAACAAAGTTCTCCCTGAGAATCGCACGGTTGGAATCTCGCCATAATATTAGTTTTAATTCATTCGTGGTGAGAGTACCAACCGAACACCTGGCGAACTTTATGAAAGAAGAGCTTTAGTCGAAAGGTGTTGTGTTCCGGCGTTTGCGAGGCCGGATACCGGACACAAATAAATAAATAAAAAGTCCCCACTGCAAAGGCACAGGGCTTCTTCAATGTGTCGTCGGCGAAGAAGACAACCTCCATATTGGGGAGGACGCTGCCTCGCAGCACCCAGTTGCACCCCAGGTTCCAGAGCAGTGGACCCAGCACTGACCCCTGGGGTAGCCCTGCAGCCATGGCCCGAGAGCGCCTGCGTTGCGAATGTATTAATAACTTTAATTTATTGAAATATTTTATGCATGATACAAGCCCCACACCTACCCTGAGCAATCCCTAATATTTTTGAGGTAAATACAATTCCTACTAGTCCATAGACGACAATTTAAAGTCCTGTAAGTTCAAGGTGACACTTTTCAAACCCCGGTAAGTTTCACTGGGAAATATGAATGCCTGTATGTCCAAACTTAATTCTTATTTTGTGAATATTTTAACCAGTTATACATCTTTTTTCTTCTTAAAGTTCAGCAATTTTTCATTATCATAAAAATGATGATAATAAATCTGCCGCGATTCCCGTACTTCACTAAGCATTTTAATATTCATCGACTCATATATACATTAACTTATGTTATCGCAGGCGCTGACTGAGCGACTGCTGTCCACGTGTCCTGGCATCCACCGCTTGCACCTCCTGGTGAAGGCCAAGAAGGGAGACTCTGGGGAGACGAGGCTCAGTAAATTTAAGGAGGGTTCGGTACGAATCTATAGTCATCATCATTAGCCTTAATGTTCCACACTGCTGGAGCACAGGTCTTCCCTTAATGAAATAGAGAGCTTGCTGCTGCTGCGCAGGTCTATGCTGACTGCTCCAAATGCAGCCGGCTCCAACGGCTTATTGTGCCTTCCAAAGCACGAAGAAGCTCGATATAGTAAATTTTTATTGTTCTTGATTAGGGTACTGAGCTTAAGTGACAACGCAGCTTATGATATTATGTAATTTATTCAAATTGTATTTTACTGCATGAAATGGTACCTTCTTACTTACAATTTCATTGTCAGGTATTTGATGTCCTCCGTGAAAACAACCCGAAGCAGCTTGAAAAGCTTAACCTCATTCCCGGGGACATGACCAGAACTGATCTCGGACTCAACGAGAAATCCATTGCAGACCTGCAGAATGTAAGGATTCCTTTGCGAGAAAGCTTTTTCTCTTTTTATAAGCCAGAGTAACATCCAGTGCCGTCTTTGACCTATTGGAGGCCCTGGACATATTAGGATATTGGGGCCCCTATGACCCCCGTTTGGTGATCTAACAAGAACTAGGGACTTTGTATTTGTGATCTGAGGTGCCCACCTATCGATCACGGGGCCCAGGAAAGACGGGTCTGGCAACATCAACTCACTCACTCATCAAATATCCATGTCTAGGATTTGTTTGGTATAATAGCCAAACACGATATATGTACTGTTAGTTTTTGAAGAGTTCCGTTGTTTATCTCTGAAAGTATTAATCAGAACTTCGCCAAATGAATATAGTACCATCTCGCCAACAAACTCTTTCAAATAAAAAGAAATTTATCAAAATCGATTCACAAATCTCGGAGAGATGAGCGATTAAAAAAAACGACAAATTGAGAACCTCCTCCTTTCAGAAATCGGTTAAAAACCTGCCAATGCTTGATTGTTTAACGAAATTCTTCCTCTTGTTTGATGTAATTTGTCTTAATAACATTAAAGTCATTTTGTTTATTAAGGTGTCAGTGGTGTTCCACCTGGCAGCGTCGGTGAAGATGGACGAAGAGCTGGAGGTAGCGGTGAAGGTGAACACGCTGGCGGCCATGTGCCTATTGGACATCTGCGACCGGCTGCCCAAGATGGCGGTATGATGCGAATAAGGCAAACTAGCGTATGACCCACCGAGAGACATAGAGAATGGACTGAGAGTATACCCGCATTTAGTTTCTAGAAAGGCCAAAGGTGGAAGAAGATCTTTACCCGAGCTGACCGATGCGACCTTTTTTTTATTTATTTTAATGTCAGGAAAATGCGTGTGCATACCCCACCGCCTTGAGAGAACGGCGAGGTTATGTGGGACTCCTCCCCCGCCTCCCGCCAACCCGAGGATTGATACAGCGGCTCCTCGAGAGGAAGGGGGCCCTACTCACTTAAAACTTGAGCATGCCCCTCACCTCGCCGAAGGGCCGTTACCTTGTCGGGTGCAAGATCCGCCATCGGGCGGTATCTCACCCGGCGAGGCGAAGACACTGGGTGAGGCCACGGGAAACCGTAAGGATACTTCCGCGACCTCACCAGTGAGTGTCTGAATCGAACTGACCCTCCCAACCTGGCGATGCCTCCGATGCCTCGGGGGCATCCCACCTAAAGACAGAGACATGTGCAAGGCAGTGCCCGGACCTCCCAAGTCCAGGTCCGGCTGGCCTCCGTCGATGTTGACTAAGAGCCGGTTGTTACCCCTTCTCCTAGCCCTCACACTCCGGCGGCGAAGTTATTCCGCGTGAGCATGCGTTCCACAAACCCTCTCAGCGGCCTCCTTCTGAATGATGACCTCCCCACAGAAGGAAACCACCGATCGGGGGATGCGACCTGACTTATGTTGGTCGAGCATTGTACTCGTATATATGAAGAGCTAGAATCCAAATTTCCATACTTTTTGAGTGCAGCGCGGTAGCACCATCTGTTGTAATGGAGTGTCAAGTCTTGCTTCGTTTATTTTAATATGTGAGGCATGTAGATGTCGCCGCTACAAGTTGATCACTACCTAGAAACTGAAACAATGAAAGCGATATCGTGTGACTAACGGGCAGAAAAGTGTAGAAGAGAGGATCTATATTTTATCTCACAGCTGGCTGAGGAATGCTTAGTCAATTCTCAATTATGATTATGACCTGTCTGAACCCCTGAGCACAAACAACTGGCGAGGAAGTATTCGTATCACCACATCAGACTTTTTATGGAAAAAACTAGTTTGTTCTTATGTCCAACAGCGTGTTGCTTAGTTACCATAGCAACTATGACGATGGTGATTTCGAACAAGGATCTGGCAAAATTCGTGTTTGGGTGGGGCACGGCCTGGATACGTTAGGTCTGCGGGGATTCGGTTCGCCAGGCTTTACGCTAGCCTCGTCACTGTGGGCTTCGCTTCGTGGCAAGCTCCTAATGTTTCAGTACATTTGTTCTGATCGTTCGGCACGTGACTCTAAGTATCACTCATAGCTGCATGTTTCTGGCTGAGCCGTAGTGGCATGCTAACTTGGTGACTTGAGATACAGGGAACACAGTTTCTTACAAAGGATTTTGACCTTCCAAAGTTAAATAACCCTTTGATTATAATAAACCAAAGTCAAGTTCAGAATTATCTTTATTTAAATTGGACGTATAGTACATCTCTTTTGAATGGTTAATTTTTTTCTCCACCACTTATATTAGTAAACGTTTTTAATGAAGAGAACAATAGCTCCATGGATTAACTTTTACTTTTGCTACAATATTTTTTATTGGAAATCTTATTTTGGAGACAGGCGTTCATTCACGTGTCGACCGCGTACTGTCACGCGGAGCGCGCACTCATAGAGGAGACGGTATACCCGCTGCCGATCGATCTGGATACTGTGATACAAGAGTCACTACACGGGGGACGCCGGACAAAGGACGAGCTTAAGAGGTATCATATTAATATAATTAAAATACGTTTTTAATAAACTTAAATCTCTGTCACACAATCAGAAAAAAGTGGGTTTTCTGCCAGCAGATTTTATCAAAGGTAGTTAAGTGATGAAAAAACACTTCGCAAATAAAAAAATATGTGAATTAGTTTAACCAAACTTTATGTTATGTTTTGGAATTTAGAAAAATCTTCTGAAGATCGATCACCAATTTTTATTCTATTCAGATGGCAAAGAGTAGTTGATAAATAAAAAAGATAAGCAGTATAGCTTAAACAGTAAAAAAGTAATTAATGCAATCAGCATAGGTATTCTGTAAGCAACGATATAAAATACCCTAGATACACCACGAGCGCTCAAAATGTGTCCCAATCAAGAAGTGCTTGAACTCCACTCAAGCACTTCTTGGTTCACAGTCACGCGCGGACCGTTACAAAGTCAAGATGCCACAGAGCTCCGCGAAAAAATGCGAAAATAATACTTAGAGTATGAAAAGTGTCGTTTTTTCGACAGGTATCTAGTCAGTGTTTGTTAATTTAACGCATTTGAAGTAAATTCTGATCTAATACTTACTATAAACTGATTTTATATAAAATATTTGTGATATTTAAATGCATGGTCGATTATACGTTGCCATATAGCCGTCTCTTTTCCTCGCGGTCCGTGCCTGCTATATTGCAAACAGCGCGTTCAGAATTGCGCGTAGAGTCAAAGAACTAAGGACTAAATTCTTCCGCATATAGCAATAAGTCGTAAAATTTTACGAGCTTTCATTTCGAACTGTCAGAAGTCCTTGACGCATGCGTTTTATTTAAGACCTTATACTGTATGTATTAAAGGTTACTTTCAATATTAAAAAAATGCCTTATATTGATTTTGACTACGCGATCATCTTACGGAGCTCCGTGGATCGTTCAATGTACCTTTTGGACAGGTTTCAGACACGATTTTGTTCGTGTTGGTGTATCTAGGGTATTTAATATCGTTGTCTGTAAGATGGAATCTCACTTATGATCTATTTATTCGGATTTCTGACAAATATCGAATATCTAATACTGGCTGCTTCTACAGACAAAACGACATTTTACCGTGTAATAGCGTAATGCATAATCAAATTTATGTCTAAAATGGAAGCTACCGAAATCGGAAGTGAGATTTTATTTTAAAGAATCGCCCTACAGAACTTGCTTTGATTAATCTGTGATATTCGTGTCTGTGTATGCCAATCGTTCTTTATCCCTTCCAGGTTCATTTCGCCGAAGCCTAACACGTACACCTTCACGAAGACTTTGGCGGAGACTGTGATGAAAATGCACGGGAACCGAGGGTACCCCGTCGCCATCTTCAGGCCTACAATAGGTATTGTGCAGTTTACATTCATTCGATGACATAGTTCGTAGTATCATATACCGACAAGGGAAGCTTTTTATTTTCTAATTTTCAAAAATGTATACGTGCCTAAAATAACGCTATTTAGTTGATCGCTCTGGTGCTTTGTTGTTTATTAATACTTTAAGGTTCAGGTCATTTTTGCAAATAAGAAATTGTATGAGAATATGTTTTTTCTTATTGTCACTCATTTTCTGCAATCGGTTTATGGGATATATAATTGAAATTATCGTGACTAGATCGATCAATAATGATGCCAGAGTAATTAAACAATACTTTAAAATTATAGACAAACAATTCATTTAGATAATATTGTTATTAAAATATACCTGTATTTTTTTTACATCACACACCAATTAGCCTAGCCCCAAAGTAAGCACTGTAAGGCTTGTGTTATGGGATGCTAGGGTAACGGATAGAATACATATACAGTACATATATAAGTATATATAGAAATACATTAAAAATCTATGACTGGAGTACAAAGCTCGTATTCATCACACAAACATCTATCTGCCCCCACCGGGATTCGAACCCGGGAGGGACCTCTCGAGTCGGTGACACCATGAAACTCGGCGTACAAACCACTCGGCCACGGATGTCGTCAAATATTAGTTATAATATATGTATTATATCCGTGCAGTGACGGAGAAAATACTATTAACTGCCTCTTTCATTTTTCCGTGGGTGTCGTTAGAAGCGACTAAGGGAACTCGGAGCTTCCATCCGCTTTACTGGTGCTTAACGCTCGCCAGGTAAGTTATCACCATATGCATGGTGTAAAACTCGTGGAGTGCTTCTTAAGCGCGTTTCGGGGTCAGCCAGCGTACAACTAGAGCTCGAGTGGGCGTTGCCGCGTCACACTCGGTCCAGGGGAGGCATCCGTCCGATCTCGGTGTCGACAGATGCCGAGAGAATTGCTTCGACCTGCCGGTCAGCGACACTCGTAGAAACGGCTGATCCGTTGGCCACCCGTTGCACAGTATAGGGGTCCGAGCGTTCCTAACCAGTTTGCGGGGCTGCTCCATCATCCGCGCATGCTACGCGTAATCCCGGGGTGGACCGTCGAGTCGGTTGGTGGAGTCGCGTAAACTCTGATCCTTTGGCTGAAGTCTTCGTGTGCCTCTACAGATCCTATACCGGTGAAGTTGTGGCAACTCGACTTTCTGAACATCTTAGTCGGGTAAAAGATGACGCGCAGGAGGAATTTCCTATTGCAGAATTCATGTTTTTGGGGGACTTTAATGCTCACCACAGTTTGTGGTTAGGTTCATCCAAAACTGACCATGCAAGGTACTCTGCTCACGCATTCGCTCTCACGCATGGCTTGAAGCAACTGATTAATAAGCCTACCAGTATTCCAAGCCAAGCGCCCTTTTTGTAGGACATTTTGCAGACGACTCATCCACAGGGCTACAGGTTGTGGTAAGAGCCTCACAGGGCTTGTCGGATCATGACCTGATATCTGCCTAGACGTCGCAGGCCAAGCCTCCGCGTCCGCGTCCGCGGTGGTCAAACGCCGGATCTGACACTATGGGTCGGCAGTTTGGACGGGATACGCGACTTCTTTGCGTACGTCTTTTGAGAGCAGCACTGCTTCAGTGGCAGGGACCTATCGGCAAGCACCATTGTCACTGAGGAGATTTTAATGGGTATGGAATACTTTATTCCTTATTCTAATCTTATCTGTAAGGGCACACGTAACCGCTGGTTCATCGCGATTGTGGTGTGGCTGTTTCGTGAAAGCAGGTGGCATATCGTGCTTGGATCCGAGACCACGCTCTTAAATATCCCGGGGTCGATTCTCTAAAAGCAGTCTACAATACTGCTTTCAAGTCCTGCAAGACGACTTACTTCAAAGCGGATGCCCAGCGCGTTGCACGTATTGGCCACGAACTGACAATGCATTCTACGGCTTCCGCAGTTATTGGCGTTTGGCCAAGGCCGTACAGAACACCTATTGCCAGCCATCTTTGTCACTTCTGAGATATCCAGACGGCTCAGTAATAAGCCTCAAGAGAAAGCCGATTTACTGGCAAAAATATTGAAATCAGGGAACGTGAGGTACGTACCGAAATGCAATCACTCGACGTCCGGAAAGCTAGTGGAACTACTGATATCCCAGCAGTAGTGCTTAAAAATCTCCAGCGAAGTTTTCTCCCGTGTTCACGCGCTTGTACCATTTTTCATTCTCTTTGGGCCGTGTCCCGGAGACTTGGAGGAATGCTAACGTCTAATCAGTGGCCAAAAAAAAGAAACGCTCAGACCCCTTCCTAAAATTATTGATTGCTATGGCCGCTCAGTCCAGAGCGATCAAAGTCATAGCAGGTAAAAAAAGGTAACATTTTCATAAATTTTGGCAAAGTTATAGCACTAGTGATGTAATGATGGTGTCGTGTGGGCAGTGATGTCATCGCTGCTCGCGCCGCGCGCGGGCTGGGTGTGGGGGGCGCGCGGGTGATGTAATGATGGTGTCGTGTGGGCAGTGATGTCATCGCTGCGTGCGCCGCGCGCGGGCTGGGTGTGGGGGGCGCGCGGGTGATGTAATGATGGTGTCGTGTGGGCAGTGATGTCATCGCTGCGTGCGCCGCGCGCGGGCTGGGTGTGGGGGGCGCGCGGGTGATGTAATGATGGTGTCGTGTGGGCAGTGATGTCATCGCTGCGTGCGCCGCGCGCGGGCTGGGTGTGGGGGGCGCGCGGGTGATGTAATGATGGTGTCGTGTGGGCAGTGATGTCATCGCTGCGTGCGCCGCGCGCGGGCTGGGTGTGGGGGGCGCGCGGGTGATGTAATGATGGTGTCGTGTGGGCAGTGATGTCATCGCTGCGTGCGCCGCGCGCGGGCTGGGTGTGGGGGGCGCGCGGGTGATGTAATGATGGTGTCGTGTGGGCAGTGATGTCATCGCTGCGTGCGCCGCGCGCGGGCTGGGTGTGGGGGGCGCGCGGCCCGGGCGGGGTGGCGCTGGCGGTGTCGCGCGGGGTGCAGCGCGTGATGGCGTGTGACCCGACCGCACGGGCGGACCTGCTGCCTGTCGACATAGCCGCTGATACGCTCGTCGCTATCGCCTGGGAGACAGCGCTAGACAAGTGAGTGCATCCGACTTCTCCTACTTATATCATAACCGTGAAAGTTTGCATGGATGTATGCATTGACTTTTGTTACTCTTTCAAGCTTAAACAGGTGGAAGACTTTGGCATATACTTATAATATGTAGTTTATCGCGTAGATTTACACACATAGGATACACTTTATCTCAGAATGTTATGTTTTTGTAGGAAATCTACAATAATGCTAACAAACACTTTACAAAGGTGATTTCCATTTTTGTTTCAAAATATTATTATAATATAAATATTATTATTTCATTTTATTCAAAAGTGTTGTACTATACATCCAATTTGAATAAAGATATATTGATTTTTGATTTCTGATTCCAAGAGATGATAATATTCTATGATTATAAAAATATTCTGGCCTTGTCTTTTCACCCAAAACACCGTCACGTGCTTGTGCATCCCCTTTGTTTAAAACAAATAATTATATACTTGCGTATGTTTTCACTATCTCGAGCTCTTCCGTGCTTCGGAAGACACGTTAAGCCGTAGGTCCCGGCTGCATCTGCAGTTGTTAGCACACACCAATTCGCACTGGGCCCGTATGGTAGTCCACACCCCAATCTCTATGCCATCCTTAATGAAGGCCAGTGCCTCAGCAGTGAGGACTTTAATAGGTTGGTGATGATGATGATATGTTTCACAGCCTTCCCGATGTCCGGGTGTACAATTGCAGCATGGGCGAGAACTCCACCACCTTCGGCGAGTTGTTCCAGTGCACCATGCAAGAAATTAGGGAGAATCCCTGTTCGAACACCATGTGTTATCCGTCTGCTGTACTGGTGGCGAACCCGTATGTATTCAATGTTTTAGGGAGGAAGATCTTACGAAAATTAACCCAACTAGTCTTGCCACTATTTATAAATGTAAAAGTTGGTAGGTTAGTCTAGTCCATACTAATACTATAAATGCGAAAGTGAATCTATCTGTTACCTCTTCACGCTTAAACCGCTGAACCGATTTGGATTAAATTTGGTACAGTGATAGTTGGAGTCCGAGGAAAGGACATACGATATTTTTAGGTTTTTATCCGAGAATCAGGTGGTGAAATTTTGTATGGGAAATTAATTGATTCACACAGTAGAATTCACACAGTGGGCTTGTAGTGCAACAACTAAATGTACCTCTTCCTATAATATCATTGTCGCAGATACCTGCTGAAGATTGCAGAATTCGTTTTAGAAACAGTACCGTTGCACATCGCTGATTTCATACTGAAAATCTTCGGCAAGGGGGACAAACGGTGAGTGTTTGATAATCTTCTTTCAGATTCTAATACTCTAAGATTATTGCTAGAAACAATTGACGATACAAAAACAAAGGTTCCAGTCAGTTTTGTTTGCAGGTTGTTTTTTTCATAGCTACGCAGACAAATGACGCTTAAGCAATCGCGAAGATAGCTGATGTTCGAAACTGCCACACCAACCAACCTCACTTTGCCGGCTAGCAGAAATGCTTCTTTACGCCTCTCTTAAAGAACTACAGTATGTAGAAATGTGTGCGGGCAAAGAATTCCACTTGCGAATAGTATGACAAAGAAATTAGTCACCAAATTTCTTTGTTCGCGTTGGAATAGTGGCCACAGTAAGGTGCGACGTATGCCGTGTAGGTCTTTCGAAGGAAAGGGGAAGGTGGGATAAGGGAGAATAACTCCTCAGAATAATATTGATATGTAGCAAGTGTGTTATTTTCTAGAATATAAAAAAATATCATTCTCGTCTGATAAGTTGATGGAGTTAGCTGGTGTAGAAAAACATTTATACCGCATCAGGTAAATCTGACAACTGGATCCTTCTCATGTTACCAGTATAAATCTGGTTCCCTTGCATAATAGAACTCTTGCAATTTTAACTCCAAGAACACTGAATTAGTTCATTGTGTATATCTGAAGTGTTTTGTACAGTGATTGTCGTTGAAATAGACCTAAACTTGTGCCTGAACCTTTTCATTGTATGTATTTTACTTTAAATTGATCACCAGCTAGTTTAGACCACGTCTAGCTGTTTCAATCTTGTACGATCTTTGATCCATGCTCACGTTTTTTCAATAAGATCATATTGCGTTATCACACTATGGATATTGGTGCAGGATGGACCTAAAAGCAGTCAGCCAGCGGCTGGTGAATATGCGCGAGGTCCTGTTTCCCTTCACAACGCGCGAGTACTGGTTCACCACACACAACGTGCGCAACCTGCGCGCGCGACTCTCACCCAGCGATGCAGCCATCTACAACACCGATCCTGCTTCTATCAGGTTTTTGTTTGAGTGTGTATGCTATTGGTCGCAGACGACCTTTATAGCTTCACCGGGTTTAGGGACGGCGAGATCTTCAAGGGAACTCAAGCCTAGAACTGGCGAGTGTGTCTAGTGGTATTCCAGGTGGATGGCATCTCCCGTCTTCTCTTCCCCGTCTAAAGCTTCTAGACTACTCAAACCCGAGGGGGTATTGTGATGTTAAATTCTCTTCAACAGCCCTCCTTTAGCCCACTCAGAGCACCGGGGGAACAATAAAAGAAAACCAAAAAAATTAAGATAATGTTATAAGTATATTTTATCCACTTTAGATACCAAAGCCTAGGACTTCAGTAGATTTAAGTTATTGCTTATATAAATCAACAAGTCTAACTATGTTTATTATTTATATAATAACTCTGTTTCACTAATTATAAATATCTAAGCTGAATACAGTAGTTCAAAGTTAATGTGTATATAAACCAACAAGTTGTCATGAAAGGTTATAATTATATGAATATCAAACATTCATAACACTTTACCATGTACTTACAATATAATCCTTACTAATATATTTTATCCACAAATACCACATAGACTAGACTGAATAAGCTATTGAGTGGATTTCAGAGGTTCTACGGCTCGTTTGATCGATATTGGTGACAAACTTAGTTAATTCTAGTTCTCAGTGAGATAACCAGTTATATAGGTATATGTAAATATATGGAAATGGGCAAGTCGGGGTCCAACCTCGCCTGTTGTTTCCTTTTCACGTTCACCCGGGGTTAGTAGAGAAATACCTTGATTATGATAGGTTAAGCTGTGTATAATCTGTCTGCTGTTCGGCCGGGTTACATAAAACCGGAGAGCGGCTGGCAAATAAACTCCCGCGCCCCTTCTGGTCCGTGCACAGAACAAAAGTCTCCTTGTTAGTCCTCCAGTATTTCTTGAGGGGAACGTACAAGCCTGAAGTTCACATTGAAAAAGAATGATCAGATATGGGGAAAATACATAGATTACCACATCTGTGGTGGGTGAGGGAGTGAGGGATATTCACGGTCAATGTTTACACTTTAAAATTTGAATCACTACAGGACTGGGGGCCCGTCCCACCCGGTTTGAAGAAAATCAATTCCACGTTCACTAACTTGACAAGAATGATTAGGTATATTTGATGACAAGAATCACTATATTGTGCATAATGCAGTTCAATTAGTGCTAGGAGAATAAATATGAGATCCGATGATAGCTTACCGTTCGAATTATGAAACTATCCGTAAGTATTTTGTTTCCTATCACAAGTTACCGCCTTATTATTGCAATCGCCTTGCGAAGGTTCGTGTTCGTCCACGAAACTCAGTTCGGTTAGCGACTCCGCGCTTTTTCCGCCAATATCCTTCGGGATATAAACTCTTCGGATCTATCTCACGACTTCGACGACAATAATATGCCGTTTATTATACTTTGGGCAGAAGAAAAGATGAAAAGTTAACTGTACCACAAACAGATTGTGAAATTTTTAAAAGTTGTTTTGACAATTGCTCATAGATGATAGACGAATCGTCTACTCCCAAACATGTGTCTATGATTTGTTTCCCACTTCAACTGAAGGCAAAGGCCACAGTCAAACAGACAGCCGCCGCATTCGAGACGAACCGAAGAATAAACTCAAAACTATATACCTACGCTCGCCGTAAGCTGAGGAAAAGGGAATACCTACCCAAATCAGCGAGGAAATTCAATTTCGAGTAAAATTCAAAATCGATTAAAAAACAGCACCCGATAAGGAGGACTCAAATCGATCTGGGAAAGACTATTCAAAATTCAACAACTGTCAAACTCCATCCATTCATCCACGCGCCCCACAGAGATTCCCCGCCTGATTACTTTTTTTTTTTTTTTTTTTTTTTTTATAAGTCTCAAGGCGAATATTTTAGTCGAATAGGAAAATCGACTCTTCCCTCAAGGCTACCAACCCAATCAATGAAGTTTGACAGCTACGCTGACGTAAGCGGTTCGCTATCATAGACAAAACAGCTGTCCTACGTGTGTCAGTGTCACGCTCTGTTTAAAAACAAACACTACAGTATCCCCCCACCCACGGCAGAATTCACGTAGGGAATTCGTCGAACGCCCTCGTTCGTATATCCCCATGTCTTATGTACTTTAGTTAAGATATGATTAAGTTATGTTGTATAAAATAATAGAATATTATAAACCGCTAAGTTAAAAAAAAATAAACATACAGAACGATAAATCATTGATAAATCTCTAAGTTGTAACAAAAATAGATAATAATAAATGACAATAGTAACACAAAGTGTATACCACTCAAGGCCGTACCGCAAGCATCTTTGCTCCGAAAATAGATATAATAAAAAAAATTATAATGTTACCAGTTATACCGCGAAAAACATAATGGTAGAAAATTAACCAAAGAGATGTTATTGGTCAAAGGCGATTTGCTCACAAAATTGCATGTTGTGTGTTCGTCCATCGTGTGTCTCATTTACTGTCTCCCGAGAGAAATAAAAAAAATATCATAAATATTCTATGCTCATCATAGGATATTATGATAAAAGTTGTTGTTAATACGTTTTCATTTGTATTAGCAACTTCAATAAAATGCCTTGGTAGGTAAAAAACTAACAAGCACATTAACAAAACCTTCTCCTGGAAAAGTTAAGAGACAATTAAGTGTTTAAGCATTAATTAGGTGGCAAACAAAGAGATCACACTATCGGGGACGAACACACACATGGGTATCTAAGATGCAGTGTGATACCAAGACCCATTGACGATTTCTACGTCACGCCGGGCAGAAGGCGGAATGGGTATTCGTCGGCCGCCACATCCACGGCGATAAGTCCCTACCTAAATATCTATTCGGGGTCAGCGCTTTTGAAATCTTTTATATGCCATTTGCCTACATACTTCCCGTTTTCGTCTTCGAGCTCGTAAACGAGTGGGGAGAGTTTACGGATTATTTTGCAACGTTCATATTTCGGTGCAAGTTTGACTGAAAAGTATTTATGAGCCGCGCTTTGTTTATACGTCCGTTTCCAAATGTAATCGCCTACGTTAAAGGAAATATCCCTACGACGCCTGTTATAATATTTAACGTTCCTATCGTGGGCTTTTCGCAGTGAGTCCTTGACCTCTTTAAAGATTTCACCTAAATGACCCAGATTAGACGCATGAGTATCCCGGGGTACTATCACTAACTCGTCAAGATCGTTGAAACCGGCATAAATACTACCATCGGTCACAGCCTCCCTACCATGAACTAACATAAACGGAGTATATGACGTGGATTCGTTCACAGAGGTGTTCATAGCGAACTGGATCTTATGAATATTCACGTCCCAAGATCTATGGTCATTTTCAACGAACGAGGCCACCGCAGTGATGACAGTACGGTTATAACGTTCGACAGTGTTAACCTGAGGGCAATACACAGGACCCAAATGGACTTGTGGTATATTATATTTGGCATACAAAGATTGAAGTTCATGGCTTACAAATTGCGATCCGTTATCGGAGATCACGGTTTGAGGTATACCATGAATCAAAAAGACATGATCCTCCAGTCGCTGAGCAATCACCCTACCCGTAGCTCGACGTAAAGGAAATAATAAACAATATTTTGTAAAGCAACACACTACTACCAGCAAATAGTTGTTTTGCTGTCTGGACATCGGCAGTGGGCCAACTAAATCGATGCTGATGCACTGGAATGGCCGACAGCAAACTTTAGGTTCTCCCATGAACCCAGGAGTTGCCAGTGAACTGTGTTTGTATGCGTTGCAAACCGAGCAACTCTTAATAAAATCCACGGTATCCTTATACATACCCGGCCAAAAATATCTTAATTTTAAACGTTTATAAGTTTTTGCCACACCAAGATGAGCCGCGATTGGTTCAGAGTGGTTCTGTTTAATTATAGATTCCCTACTCTCAATCGGGATAACCTGTTTCCACTGGTAATCACCACTGAGCTTATTACTACTTTTTGTGAAACGGTATAACCTACCATCAACTATCTGAAAATTTGGACAAGCTCTAGGTTTGTCCGTACAACGTTTAATTATATTATTATACCACGAGTCGGCTGTGGCGTCAGTGATACCTATAGATGCCACGGGAACAGAGCGGGATAACGCGTCAGGTACCACATTTTGTGAGCCACTGCGATGTTCTATTACAAAATTATAGGGTGATAATCTACAACCCCAACGCGCCAAGCGACCGGTCGGATTTTTAAGCTTCAGAAACCATTTTAGACTAGCATGATCGGTAATAACACGAAATGGCCTACTACCCTCCAGATAGGGACGGAAATGCTCGACTACATGTACCACAGCTAAAGCTTCCCGCTCGGTAGCCGAGTAATTTCGCTCGGCGTGGGTAAGTGAGCGACTACAATACGCGACCGGATGCTCCTGGCCGTCTACGGTTTGGGTGAGGGTACCTCCAATGCCAAAATTGGACGCATCGCAATGAACTGCAAATTCCTTCGTGAAGTCCGGACATGCCAAAACTGGAGCACTTGTAAGAGCCGACTTCAAGTCCAGAAATGCTTGCTCTGCCTCATCCGACCATTTAAAGGGAGGAGCACCCTTACGCGTAGAAGTGAGAGCATTTAATGGCCCGGCCATATGGCTAAAGTTTTTAATAAATCGCCTATAATATGATGCAGTTCCCAGAAAACGTTTCACCTCCTTTCTATTAGCGGGTATGGGAAAATCCATAATAGCTCTTATTTTATCGGGATCGGTACGCAAACCATATTCATCAACCACGTGACCCAAATACTTCAACTGTCTTCTAAAGAATTGACACTTCCCCATATTAATAGTTAAATTAGCCTCCAACAATCTATCTCTGACTTTACGTAGAATATCAAGATGTTCGGACATAGCAGGCGAGGAAGTTAAAATTATTAAATCATCCAAATAAATGAATATTTTATGGTTATCCGGGTTAAAATCTGGTGACCCGGATCCCAACAGCTTATTAAA